CTGCCTTGCCAAGTCCTGCCAAGTTCTGAACCTGCTTTAGACAGCTCCTTCCAGAGGCTGTTTAGAAGCCTGGCTAGCTTCATTATCTGTTTCCAAAACCACTTGAGATTCAAGCATTTATTTCATTTTACTCTTTGTCATACTTTATTCTTGATTTAGTCTCTATGGGAAATAGAGATTTCTCTATTTTCAAGAATAAGAAATATGGTTTTTGTACAAGCAAATTATTAGTTTTTAAAGAGTAACACATCTTTGTCCTAATATGACAAAAATGGATTTGACTTCCAACAAATATGCTGAGAGTTCTGGCGACATGCTCAGTAAGGTGCCTACAATCCAAGCATGAGGACACCAGTTTGAGCCTCAAGAATGCATGTGAAACAGCTGGGAATGGTAATAGCACTTGTCATTCCAGTGCTGGAGAGACTGAGATAGGCAGCTCCCTGGGGCTCCCTGGCCAACCATCATAGCCTGATGGGTACATGCTAGACCCCAACTCAAGGTAGAGACTTCACAAGTATCAGCAGCAGTGACTGACCTCTGGCCTCCACACATTCATGTTTTCACACACAAAAGAAATACACTGGACAGAGTGGTGCATAATGTAATCCCTGTATTGCAGAGGAGGTAGGCAAGAGAATCCCAAGTTCAAGACCAGCCTGGGTTACATATACTGCTCTTCCAAAGGACCTGAGTTCAGGTCCCAGCATCCATGTCAAGTGGCTTACAGCTGCCTGTAACTCCATACCTGACACTCTCTTCTGGCCTCTGCAAGCACCCATGCTCACATGCATATATCTTCACATAACATTTTTAAATTTTAAGAGTGTGTGTGTGTGTGTGTGTGTGTGTGTGTGTGTGTGTGTGTGTTTTGTGTGTGTATACACTTGTGCACTCTCACATATATACACGTGTGCTCATGAGTACAGTGCCCATGGAGGCCAGCAGACAGCATTGGATCCCCTGTGACAGGCAGTTGTGAGTTGCCTGATGTGAGTGCAGGAACCAAACTCAGCTTGCAGGACTAGTATATATTTCTTAACTGCTTAGCTATCTTTCTAGCTGTCTCACACATAATTTTAAAAATAAAATAAAACTTTAAAAAAGGCAAAAATATTTAAGGGAACAAAAAAAACAAAAAGAAAAGAAATACTTCTGTTTTACGAAACAAGGTCTTGCTGTGTAGTCCAGGCTGTCCTGGAGCTGGCAGTCATGTCTCTGTAGTCTCCAGAGCTGTGGAAAAGAAGCACCTTTTATGTAAATGATGTTTTTAAAGTAAGTACATACACTATAGTGTGATAATCTAAATAAAAGTGTACTCTTAAGAGATAATTTATTTCCATATCTAAAACTGAAAGGTGCTTTTTTAGAAGCTCAATTTCTTCTTTTTATTTGTTTTTTGTTTCTTTGCTTGCTTTTTGAGACAGGGTTTCTCTGTGTAGCTTTGCACCTTTCCTGGAACTCACTCTGTAGCCCAGGTGGGCCTCGAACTCACAGAGATCTGCCTGCCTCTGCCTCCTGAGTGCTGGGATTAAAGGCATGTGCCACCACTGCCCGGTAATTTCTTCTTTTTAAAAAGATTTAGTTATAAGGGTTGTAGATTTAGTTCGGTAGTAGAGCATACCTTAGTACTCAACAAAGTCTGGGTTTGATCTCCATTGCATCCACACACAAGACCAATCAGATTCTTATATTAAAATTCTCCCTAAACTACATGGTTCCAGCATTGTGTGCCTAGTACACTAGTTACCTTATGCTATATAATAAATCATCCCAAACAATAATCATTTGTTATTTCATGGTATTGTTGGGTCAGGAATCTGGGTGACAGCCTCACTCAGGGTCTTAGGAAGCTGAAAACATGGTGCCCACCAGCACTGCCACTTCAGGTGACTACGCAGCTATGGAGAGTTGGTGGCTATTGACACATACAGTTGTTGGCAGAACTCAGTTTCTCTTGAGTTGTGGTACTAAAGCCCTTGGTTACCTGATGACTGCTGGCCATAGGAACCTCTGCATGAGGAGCTTCACAACATGGAGGCTGGCTGTCCTCAGAGTGAGCAGTAGCGAGCACAATGTAAAAGCTGTAGTGTTTTTATTCTATTTATAGAAGGGACATCTCATTACTCTGTCATATTTTCTTCATTGAGGTAAATCAGCCAGGTGTGGTGGAACCCACTTATAATCCCAGCACTGGAGAGACCGAGGCAGGAAAGTCATGATTTCAAGGCTAGCCTGGCCTACAAATATGGCCCTGTTTCAAGAACACAGAAAAAACAAACAAGATAATGAATCAATAAATACATTCCATATGAAAGGATATATAAAAAAGTTATAAATATCAAAAGAGTCTTGTCTTTAGTGCCCAAGCTTTTGTCTCTGTAAGCATATCATTTAAAACTGTCTCATATGATGTTCCACATCCCAGACCAACTAACTTGTAACATGGTAGCTAGAAAAAGCACACACAGTCTTTCATCAAAATGAACATGGAACACAAATAAAATACAGGATTCAAGCAGACCACTCATATTCTCCATTATCCAAATAAATATATATATTTATAAATATACATATATAATTTGTATATATAAATACATATATAATTTGCTCACAGTTAAATTTGCTTTCAGCTAAATTTCACATCAAAATCTCAACCTAGCCAGGTTTCATGGTACATGTATGTAATCCCAGCATTCAGAATATCATAATTTTGAGGCAGCCTGGACTAAATAGAAAGAAGCTTTTCAAAGATGAAACTGTTAAATACATAAGACCCAGAATCCATTCCCCAGTACAGACAAAACAATCTATATAATTTAAAAATTACATATGCTATTTCATAAAGCAATTATTTTAGTACTTTTGAAGTTCTTCTGTATAAGTAAATTAAGTCATTGCAGGTGTAACTGTCTTAAAGATTGATATCTATAGGAATTCTTTTGCTTTCAGAGCTGCAAAGCTTAAGAGAATATTTGGTGTAGTCTTTATAAGTTTATTTAAAGTAGGAAGTAGAGGTTATAGTAAAGTAGTTTTGTTAACTTGTTAGCTACTTGAATAAGAAGCTAGTTCCATATCTTACTGTTTCTATCAAAATAAATTCCACTTAAAATGAAAGATTTAAACATTTAAAAGGGAGCGCACAAAGGTTAAAGAAAACATAAGTGAATATCTATAAGCTCTAAAGAGGTAGAGATCTTTCTGAACATAGCATCCAATCCAGAATCTACATAGCTATTTCCATTCAGGAAATATAGAACAAACAAACAACAACTGTCATGGAGTGAAAAAAGAAACTATAGGAAAAAAATCTTTACTACATATATCACAGAGATTGTGCTGATTCTTCTCATTCTGAAAGAGCTTTTGGGGTCAGTGAGATGCTTAGTGAATGAAGCACCTGCCATCAAGTCTGACCACCTATGTTCAGTCCCCAAGACCTACATGGTGGGAGGAGGGGTCTGAATCCCACACCTTGTTCTCTGACTTCCACATGCGTGCACACACACACAAAATACATAGAAATGTGGTAAAAATGTAAAAGAGCTTTTACAACTCAATAAAGTGATGATAAATACACTGATAATTTAAAGAAAAAGGCATATTCGGTTAATAATAGACGGGGCTGTAGTTCAGTGGTAGAGCATGTTTAAGTGCATATTTAAGGCCCTAGGTTCAATACACAAGAACTCCACAATCTTAATGTAACAGTAAAATGTAAGTCATGTATGGCATCACATGTTTTTATTCCTAGCTCTTGGGAGACAAAAGTGGTAGATCTCTGTCAGTTCCTGGCCACTCAAGGCTACATAGTGAGACCCTGTCTGTCTAAAAGAAACAAAAAACCAAGAGCAATACCTGTGCTTCCAGGGGACCCAATTCAGTTGTGCCCACCTGGAGACAGCTCACAACTGTCTGTAGTTCCAGTCCCAGGGGACCTGACACCCTCTTCTGGCCTCTGAGGCACATGATGCACAGATGCATGCAGGCAAAACACCCATACACATAAATAAAATTTTAAGAGGGGTGTGTGTGTGTACATACAGAGAGAAAGAGACAGATACATACTAAAATTGTGCTCTACATTTTTAAAGGTGCCACATATATTGAAAAGTTATACATGCATTAAAAAATGATAGCAGTGACTAGGGTGCCTCAGTGGCAGATTGGTAGCATCTGTGGTTTATGAAATCATTGGAGAAGTAGCTAGCTTATTTATAGCTATTGAAGTTGGTGCATTCTTTGGGATCGCTATAGGTCATAGAAAGATGCTCAAATATATTGTAAAATGGAAAATAAAAAAGAAGATTCAAGTCAGGCCTGGTGGCATAGGCCTGTAAATCTAGTTATTCAAGAAGCTGAGGCAGGAGGATCTCTAGTCAAGGCCATCCTGAGCTACAGAGCAAGATCAAGCCAACCTGGGCAACTTAGACTTTATCTCAAAGACTAAAAGAAGGGGGTCTGGAGAGATGGCTCAGTGGTGAAGAGCACTTTCTGCTCTTACAGAGGACCAGGGTCTGATTCCTAGCACCCACATGGCAACTCACAACCCTCTGTAACCACAGTTCCAGAGACACCGATACCCTCCTGGCTCTAGGCACACTTGTCGTACACAGATATGCATGCAGGAAACACACACACACACACACACACACACACATACACACACATGTTTTAAACTAACATATATTAGTTTAAAAAGGGCTGGAGAATGGGTAGAGTGCTTGCTTGGCATGAATAGGGCCCTGGGTTCAGTCCACAGAACCACAAAAAGGAAGAAAGGAAGAGAGGGAAGGGAAATTCATAAGCATTGATGAGCATTGTATGTATACATTGAAAGCTATGTAAGGTGAATAGTTAACTTTGACTTTCTCTGGGTAGAACTGAGGGGTCAACTTCATGAGTAACCTGTTGCTACAATATTTAAAAATTTATAGTTAAAATCTTTTATAAGCAGAAAGAATATTTTTTAAAAGGCAACTTATAATTTCTTTTTACAGGGGATTACATGCTTGAGGCAAAGCCAAAAGAAATTTCAGAAATTCAACGTGTAAATTATGAACAGGTAATAAACATGATTTTTATATTAAAATATGTAATTTTGTGTTATGAATATACACATTGATCATTGTCTGTGGTTTGAAATTTTTTCTATACAGGACTGGAGAGTAAATGTTTTAGACTTTGCCAATCACATAAGTTCAAATCTATTGCTTATTCTTTCTTTCTTTTTTAACTACCCTTTAAAAAATGTAAAAAAAAAAAAACTTAGCTCAGAGCCATATTTGGTTCAGAAGCTGTAATTTTTGGATTCCTGTTTTTATGAATATATGTACTAATAATGTATCGATATCATCTTATAAATCTGTACAGGATAACTTGGCAGTTTTCTTGAAAAAATTTACCCTCAAGTGAATTTGTCATTGATTTATCTTTTCTTGTTTCATTTAAGTTATTTATCATTTTTTCCAGTGCTGAGAATTGAATTCAGTACCTTGTACCTGCCAGATAAACACTCAGCCAGTCCTCAAGTTATGTTTGGGATAAAGTTGAGTAAATGCTGGCTGAGATGTCAGGGACACATTCTGCAACTGTGTAATTTTCAACATGGCCCACGTTTCTGGTGCATTCTTTAGAGATTCTGTTCTGTAATGAAGGCACAGCAGGTTTCAAGGTTGCCAGAGCTGGGAGTAAGCAAGCAAGCTTGGTTTTCTACGGTTTTCTTTGTATTTGTCCATAGAAGGAAGGAAAAAGAAATTAGCTTCTTTATGTGAAAGGATGGGTCACCTGGGGAGGAGATGAACATCACTGGGGATTCATTCTCACTGTACAAAGCAACGTTTAAAAATATGGGATCAGCTGGGCATGGTGAAGCCTGATCTGCGTAGATTTCCATGCCAACCAGGGCTTACCCAGTGAGACTCTCTCTCTCACAAAACAGTCATCAGGAGAGCAAAATTCACAACAGGAAACAAAAATTCATTTCTGGTTTTTAGAGTTTATCTTTCTATTTATTTATTTAGGCAGGGTCTCACTGTGTAGACTTAGCTGGCCTAGAGCTCACAATGTAGAACAGGTTAGCCTCGAATTCACAGAGAAACCACCTTCCTCTGCCTCCAAGTGCTGGGACTAATTTACAAAGTTCTTGAATTTGAACGTTCATATAATCTTGTCCTAACACAATTGAAAAGTCACCATCCTGTGCATTATAGGTAATCTGTAACTGAAGTCAACTTTGTGTGCTGATTGAAATTTTATCTAGAGAAGATTGAAGCATAGCTCAGAAGGACCTAGGTTTACCAATCAGTAACTCTCCCAAAAATTACTAGGAGAATTTGTAGTTTAGAGCAGTGATTTTCAAAACAGTTTTTAGCAGTAGAAACCTCCTCTGAAATCTTAACATCAGTTTCTAGTATATAAAATCAATAAATGACGTGGGTTTTTTTTCTTCTTCTTCTTCTTTTTTTTTTTTTGGTTTTTTCGAGACAGGGTTTCTCTGTGTGGCTTTGGAACCTGTCCTGGAACTCGCTCTGTAGACCAGGCTGGCCTCGAACTCACAGAGATCCACCTGCCTCTGCCTCCCGAGTGCTGGGATTAAAGGCATGCGCCACCACCGCCCAGCATAAATGACGTTTTAATTTGTTTTTTAAGCTAGCAGATAAAGTAAACGTGTCTCATTGTAGAATTTTCACGCATGCTTTGTTCTTAGGTTACCCCTCTCCTACCCTTCATCTTCTCTGGTCCCCATCTTCTCCCCAATAGCCCTTCCCACTTTCATTTCACATGAATTCCATTACTGTCATTTTTTTCTATTTCTTTTCCCTCACCTTTAGATTTCATCTTCCCCTTTCAGAGTGCTCTTTCTCATTTCATGACTGATGTCCACATCAAACCAATAAATAATAGTTTATAAGTATGACATGGTAAGGTTTGGCTGATATCATTTATAAAAGTTGATATAATTTCTTACTGAACTCAATGAGGCATTTTTGGATAACATCAAAACTCAAATTCAGAATAGTGGTTGGTCATCCTAGTATCATATTATTTCTGTAGACGAGTCCTAAGGATCCATTGACAAGTGTTTGCAAGTGACAGAAGTGTGTTTGTTCCTTTTAACCTGCCATGTAGTCTGTGGATGCATTTCCTCTCCAGTGGCTTGGACTCCTGAATAGTGGAAGAAAGACTGTTTGACCTTGAGACAAAGGATATATAAGGACTTAAGGCAAACATACCTGATCCCACTGAGATGATTCGGTGCGTAAAGGGAACTTAATTCCTGGAGCCCACTTGGTGAAAGGAAACAACGGGTTCCCTCAGGCTGTCCTCTGACCTCCACATGCATGTTGTGGCACCCACGCACTCGTCCCCCAACCACAGTGAACAATTTTCAGACTACCCTGTTCTTAAAATAAGTATGAAAGTATTGGTGAAGTAATTCTATGTTACCATTCACTTTAAGAAAAGTGTGTAGCAAGCTACATGCTGGGTCTGAGCACCTGGTTTAAGCCCACAGGTGTCAGGCATCTGTTGGTTTGTTTTGTTTTGTTTTGTTTTTTGGTCAGGCACCTGTTCTTAATGAGACTTTATATGAGCTGACATGGTCAGACATCTGCAAAGACCAACACAGAGCTGGGATATTCACATGAGACCTCTGCCAAAGGCACCATGCTGACAATGCACACTTCCTAGCCTTGTCAATTAGACAAGGGTAAGAAAACACAGTGTGCATGGCAACAGGTTTTCCTTTTTATTTTACTCATTTATTTTTGCAGTTGTAGGGTATTAAATGAGAGCCTTACACAGGTAGGTCAGGGCTTTACTACCAGGCTGCACCTTCAGCCTGACAAGTTTTTAAATGATCACAAGTGTGTTTGTAAAACATACTTAGGTTTAAGTTGGCTGTGACAGCACACCATTTCAATCTGAGTGATCAGGAGGCGGAGGACTGAAAATTCAAGGCCTGGCCTACACAGCAAGACTGTCTGAAATAAGTAAAAGTATGTTTTGTATTTAAATTTAAAATACTTCCTTATGCTAGAAGTACTTTTGAGAGGACATCTAAAACAGTTTTACTAGCACCTTTAAGGATCTAATAGTAACCTCTTCTTAGGGTCTCAGCAGCCATCCATCCCTCACTCTTATATTTTATACCATAATTATCAATTTGGAATTAGGAAGAAGTTGTCCAGCTATTTTCTCTTTAATCTTTGCTTATAAATGTCTCTCTGTATTATCAGTTTATTAATCTTGATGGTTATTGAATGGTAGGGGAATTATTTACTGTGTTTTGAGACTTGGTCTTACTATGGAGCCCAGCCTGGCCTTGAACTTCCTGCCCTCCTGCCCCCACCTCTCTAGTGCTTGAATTACAGCATGCATTGGTTTTGTTTGTTCTGCGAGGAATATCCTGTTTATTCTCATACTGAATGTTTTTTGGGTTTTGTTTTTGTTTTTTTGAGACAGGGTTTCTCTGTGTAGTTTTGGTGCCTGTCCTGGATCTCGCTCTGTAGACCAGGCTGGCCTCGAACTCATGGAGATCCACCTGGCTCTGCCTCATGAGTGCTGTGATTAAAGGCATGCGCCACCACTGCCCGGCTTGAATGTTAAAATAATCAGAAAAACAGGTTTTTAAATAATCTTCATTAAATGATTTGTGATATTTATTTTCAATTAATTAATTAATACATTCATCCATGTACATGTGGCACAGTTTGCCTGTGAAAGTCAAGAGGATGACTTTGCAGGAATCAGTTCTCTCTTTCAGTTGTGGGTTCCATCAATGAAATTGATGGTCAGACTTGTGCAGCAAGCACCTTTACCCACTCCTTGATCTGGGCAGTTAGATTTGTGATCTGTTGTTTCCTGCCTCTCTCTCAGACTTCACCTACAATGCCTTTCATTTATTTAGATCTACCCTTACTGGATTTTTCAAATATTATAATATGCTCATTTTTGTTATCAGTTCTTTCGGTAGTAGTTTTTATTGCTGTTGTTACTGTGGTTTGGGTTTTTTGTTTTTCAAGACAGAGTTTCTCAGTGCAGTCCTGGTTCTCCTGGAACTCGCTCTGTGAACCAGGCTGGCCTTGAACTCAGAAACCCACCTGTCTCTGCCTCCCAAGTGTGGAATTAAAGGTGTGTGCTACCACTGCCTGGCCAGAACTTAGTTTACAAGAGGCCTTTCTTTCTCCTCTTCTCCCTTCTTTCCCTTCTGTCCTCTTTTTTTTTTTTCCATGTTCAATATACTCAGCACACAATCAAGTGTAGGAAAAGCAGCTGTTTCCATGTGCCTCCCGTTCCTCTTCGCCTGCACATACAGCTTCTCCATTATTACCTTTCCACACCAAGGCAGTATGTTAGACCACACACAGGGAAGGTCTCATCCAGGGAAACAGGAGTTAGAAGAGTGATAAACTTCTAAAAGTTTTACCTAATAGTCACAAGGATGATGGCCTATTAAGGGGATTAAAGGTAATTTGGGCTTCGGATGTGCAACATTCCAGCTCTTTACATGTTCTAATCAGTCAACATTGAAGAATCTATAACATGTGGTGGATTTTTTCTGGGAACTTCAGTTCTCGGACTAACAATCCTACATCGACACAGGATTGTCACCCAAAGTCCCTAGGTTGCATTAGGTTTCACCTGTGGTGTTATACATTCTGTGGCTTTTGACAAGTGTGTGATGGAATGTATCCACCGTGTAACACAACACCAGAATGTCTCACTGTGTGCTGCTAGGTACTCCTCCCGCCCTGACTGCTGACAACTGATCTTTTTAGAGTCTCCGCCAGATCAGTCGTTTCCAGAGCCAGATTCCACATGTGGATCACGGTCTTTTCAGATCTGCTTCTGTTATTTAGTGATGTGCAGCTAGGTTCTTCTATATCCTTTCATAGCCTAAGAGCTCATTTCTAGTTTTTAAATTGTAGTAAAAACCACATAAGATTACATTCATCAGCCATTGTTTTAAATTGTACAATTTAGTGGTGTTAATTACATTCACATGGAGATATGAGAGAGCTCTAGAACTGTTTCATCATATGAGGCTGAATTCTATACTCACCAAGCAATAACTTTATACTTTTCACTCCTACTGTCCCAAGAGCCCTCCATTCTACTTTCTGTTCTGGTCCTTGTGGTTGCTTTACAATAATATAGACAGAATCATAAAGCGTCTGCTCTTTGTGGAGCTTATTTCATCCTTGAAGGTTCATTTGTGCCATAGCATGTGACAGGAGTTCCTTCTTGTACCACTGATAATAATGTCGTAGACATTTGCACTACTGCTTCTTAACTGTTGCTGTGCTGAGCCTGGGTTTTGAAGTGGCAGTCCTTAAACTTCAGACTTTTCCTTTAGATTTCCCAGTCTGAAAATAGATCCTTACTTCCTGCCACTCTGCACAACCTCATACTGCTCAGTTTTACTGGTTAATGCTTGGTATCATATTGTACATTTACTTGGCTTTCTCTTGTAGCACCATGCTCATTACCTGACAGGAGAAAACCTGTTATAGTCACTATTGTATTGCTGGAACTCAGATTAGTGCCTGGTACACAGTATGTACTTAATGAAAGTCTGTTAAGGGGCTGAAGAGGTGCTTGTCTAGCATGCACAAAGCCCTGGGTTTGATCCCTAGTGCTGCAGGACTATAAGAAAAAAAAGAATAAAATAAAATCAGAAAATGAAAATAAAAGTGCTGAAGAGGGGAATAATGGATAAAGGGGAAGTTTTCTTTCTTTTCTTTTTTCTTTTTTTTTTTTTAAGAAACAAGGTCTTAGGCTGGGTGGTGGTGGTGCACACCTTTAATCCCAGGACTCGGGAGGCAGAACCAGGTGGATCTCTGTGAGTTCGAGGCCAGCCTAGGCTACAGAGTGAGTTCCAGAACAGGCTCCAAAATTACACAAAGAAACCCTGTCTTGAAAAAAGAAAGAGAAAGAAAAGAAGAAAGGAAGGGGAGAGAGAGAGAGAGGGGGAGGGAGAAGGAGAGGGAAAGAGAGAGAGAGAGAGAGAGAGAGAGAGAGAAGAAAGAAAAAAGAAACATACAACTTTTATTTTTTTGTACTTCTTACTCTTCTGAATTCTACTTCTCCCCTTTGTATTTTTAGAATATGAGTGATGCTATGGCGATCTTGCACAAACTACAGACAGGCCTGGATGTGAATGTCAGGTTCACTGGGGTGCGAGTGTTCGAGTACACACCAGAGTGCATAGTCTTCGATCTTCTAGATATTCCTTTGTATCATGGGTGGTTAGTGGACCCTCAGGTAAGTAGTGTTTCAGTTGTATAAATACAGGGGACTTGAGAGATGGCTCAGTGGTTAAGAGCACTGGCTACTCTTGCAGACAGGTCACAATTGTCTGTAACTCAGTTCCAGGGGATCTAATGCTTTCTTTTGACACATGCAGTTGCCAGGCATGCCACTGGTACACAGACATACATGCAGGCAAAACACTCGTAAACTTAAAAATAACAGTCACACAAACACAAATGCAGGAAAGTTCATCTAAATTTATATTTTCTAATATGAATATGCTTGCTCTTTGACCTGGAATTATCAAAACCAAGACAGACACAGTCTTCCAGAGCTCCCAACCTGCTTAAGACTCTGACTCTTGCTAACTGTAGAGTCAAGTAAAGAATCCCTCACTTTTCACATCAATTGCAAGTTTAGAGAGTTTTCCAAAATATCCTAAGAGTTAATAGTTTGTTAGAACCCTTATGGTGGTTTGAAAGAAAATGGCCTCCAAAGGAAATGGCAATATTGGGAGGTATAGTTTTGTTGGAGTAGGTGTGGATTTGTTGGAGGAAGTGTGTCACAGTGGAGTCAGGCTTTGAGGTGTCTTGCTTAAGCTTTGCTCAGTGTCACAGTCAACTTCCTGTTGCCTGCAAGATGTAGGACTCTCAGCTACTCCTCCAGCACCACGACTGCATCCAATGCCGCCATTTTCCCTGCCATGATGATAATGGACTGAACCTCTGAAACTGTAAGCAAGCCCTCAATTAAATGTTTTCCTTTATAAGAGTTGCTGTGGGGCTGGAGAGATGGCTCAGCGGTTAAGAGCACTGACTGCTCTTCCAGAGGACCCTGGTTCAATTCCCTGCACCCACATGGCAGCTTACAACTGTCTGTAACTCCAGTTCCAGGGGCTCCAACACTGTCACACAGGCAAAACACCAATACACATAAAATAAAAATTAAAAAAAAAAAAGAGTTGCTGTGGGGCTGGAAAGATGGCTCAGAGGTTAAGAGCACTGGCTGCTCATTCGGAGGTCCCGAGTTAAATTCCCAGCAACCACATGGTGGCTCACAACCATCTGTAATGAGATCTGGTGCCCTCTTCTGGCATGCAGGCAGAACACTGTATACATAATAAATAAATCTTTAAAAAAAAAAAAAAAAAAAGAGTTGCTGTCGTGTCTCTTCACAGCAATAGAAACCCTAACTAAGACAACCTTCTTGGGTGTACCATTGCATACAAATAATTCAGCTTATTACTATAATGGTGCACACAAGAGAAATCAGATACAGGTTCATATTAACCAAGGGAAGGTGCATAGGACAGAATCTAGGAAGGATTTACCTGGGAAGCTCCTGTCCTCTAAGCATGCTGCCCTCCTGGAATTGGTATATGGCAGTATCATAGAGTGTTGCTAATCCCAGAACTCAGCCTCCAGAGTTCAGATTTCTTATGATTGATTGCCAGTGTGATTGATCCCAGTCTCCAGTCCTTCCTTTCCAGAAAGCAAGACTAAATGCCGCATTGTTCAAGGGGGCCTCCATGAGTCACTGTGCTCTAATGTGAGCTGCAGGTGTAGTATGAAGGCTTTCCCATGTGTAGTACCATTGGTCTTGTTACTAGAGAAATCCCAAGAGCTTAGAGGTTATCACCCCAGAAGTCTGGAAAGGCCAGACCTCTCCTTGGTCAAGAGCATAGCATTAAAGAGAGATTTTCTAATTTCCCTGACATTTATTTTAAAAGCCACTGCCATATCCTCATCACTCTAATGTGTGAAAGGATTCTGCACCTTTCTGTATGTCCAGTGACTGCTCATATTTAATAATCTACATTCTGCCTCTTGCCGAGTATACCAGGGTCCTGACTTGAAGTACAGGACACACTCCAGTATAGCCAAACAAAGTTTTAAGAAGAGTCTAGTTAGAAAGATGTGGGCAAAGGTAAGGGAACAACCAAGGAATGGTGAAGCATCTGAGAGCTATCTGCAGCCAGGAACCATTTCCCCTGAACTCTGAAGAGACAGTGCTTAAAACCCAGCAACACCACTTGCTGAAGCATGAGAGGACAGTCCAGAAGGTAATACAGTTACTACCAAGTGTGGATAGTAGCAGAGATAGAAAGGAAGGCCTACCCTGCCCCCGCTCTCTAGTGTCCATTATTACCATACATTAGTCAAGCTGAGTGAAAGGAAAGAGGCAGCTTTAGAATAGAGTGCAGAGACAGTCTTGGAAGAACCAAAGGAAGAAACAGCTTCTTTCTTACGTGTAAAGTTATTTTATTTGGTTGGTTGGTTGGTTGTTTCTGAGATAGGGTCTTACTATATAAATCAGGTTAGCCTGGAAGTCACAGAGCTCCACCTGCCTGCCTTCCTGGTGCTAGGATTTCAGGCATATACCACTGTGCTTGACTTTTTCTCTGAGGGTTGAAGATTAAACTCAGGTCATCATCCTTGGATGGCAGTACTGAGTCATCTCCTAGCCCCCATGCCTGCATTTTTAACCATTAAGGATGTTGAACATATTTTCCCATGCTTATTTGCTGTTAGTATATCCTCTTATAAAATCTCTTTTTCTCCCTCCCTTTTTCCCCTCCAATTTTCTAATTATATTGGTGTTTTTAGTTTTTTGAAACAGAGTCTCTATATATAACCAGAGCTGGCATAGAATTTGCAATTTTCTTGCCTCTGCTTCCTGAGTGCCAGGTTGCAGGTGTGTGCTACCATACCTGGCTTCAAGGGGTTTTTTTTTATTTTAATTTTTATGTGTGTCTGTGTATATGTGTGCATACATGTATCACATATGTGCAGGTACTTGCAGAAGCCATACGAAGGTATGGGCTCCCTGGAGCTTGAGTTATAGGTGGTTGTTAGTCACATAATGTAGGTGCTGGGAATCAAACTCAGGTCCTCTGGAAGAACAGTGTGTGTTCTTAACCATTGAGCCATCACTCAGTGATTTAGTGAAACCTAGTTCGTTGATTTTTTTCTCTGTTAAGTCCAACAACTCTTTCTAGCTCTAAATCTTGACTGCTTTTGCTGTGCTTTTCTTTGCCAAATATACTATAGTTTTATTTATTGTACTTAAGTCTATGACCCATTTTGAGTTAATTTTGAAGACTTGAGTTATTGAATGTGAATATTCCCTAGCTCTGGCACATTTCATGTGTAGCTGTCACCTCAATCAATTTTTTGAAGAGTTTTATCATCTTGAAAAGAAACTCAGTTGGGTGGTGGAGGCACACACCTTGAATCCCAGCACTTGAGAGGCAGAGGCAGGAAGATCTCTGAGTTTGAGGCCAGCCTGGTCTACAGCTAGGACTACATAGAGAAACCCTGTCTTTGGAAAAAAAAACATAAATAAATAAATAAATAAATAAATAAATAAATAAATAAATAAATAAATAAAAATCTTTGTGAGAGAGAGAGAGAGAGAGAGAGAGAGAAGAGAAGAAAAGAAACGAAACTCTATACCTGTTAGCCATCAGCCTCTCGTCTTTGTAACTTTCCCAGTCTGCTTTGCCTGTAAAGACTTAGCTATCCTGGGCACTTCATGTAAATGAAAACATGTAACATGTGATCTTTCTTACTTCTTTATTTATGTGCATATGCATGTAGACTCCTGTGCTCACAGAGATCTACCTTGCATCTACCTCCTGAGTAATAGGATGTATGATTTTGATGAGACCCAATTTATTTATTTTAATTTTGTCTTTTGTGTGGTCTCCTAACCACAAGTCACAAATGTGAACTCACATATGTCTTAGTTTTTACATTTAGGAATATGATGCATTTTGAATTAGTTTTTCTGTGTCTAGAAAGGACCCAACCTTATTCTTTTGCATGTCAGTATCCCATTGCCCTGTTAGTTGCTGAAAAGATCCTTCAAGACCTACTGAATTGTCTTGATACTTACTTGTAAAGTAACCTCTTTTTTTATTTTCTTAAATCTCCAGTATAGCTGCAGTAAGGTGAAATCATGATGGGTATTTGTTGGCTTTTTTTTTTTTTTTTTTTTTTTGACTGAGTCTTGTTTGATAGCCCAGTTTGACCTGGAACTATGTAGACCAGGCTGGCCTTGAATCCACAGCAATCCTGCCTCAATTTAATCCAGGCTTTTATGCTGTAGACTCTGCCTAATACCACTTCCTGCCTTTCTCCAACATTCTTACTCTACCCCAGTGACACTTGATGTTTTTCTGTTAGCTAAGCAGGTCAGCTCATTCCTCTCAGAGCTGCTGATGTTGCTGCAGGTCTTGGCGTGGAATCCAGAGCCCTGTGCATGCCAAGCAAGTCTGTACTCTCAGGCCAGCTCAGTTTTGTACTGACTGGATTACTCCCTGTGGACTACTATTCTCCCAGTACCTTGTTCTCTCAGGTCTTCACATTTTTGGCTCTTTGTATTTCAAAAGTTCTTGTCAAATGTTATCTTGTAAAAGAGATCCTACCTAAAATTATTACTCTCCCTCTTCTCAGCCATTTTCTCTCCCTTTACTATGTTTTTATCATTTATCATTAACTATAATTATTATCTATTCATTTACCTGACTGACTGCCATTTCCCAATAAATGTTCATTTTAGGGCATCTAATGTCTCAATGTTTAGAATAGTGTGTATCACACAGTAGGTGCTTAATAAATATTAACTGATAAAGTGCATTGTGCCTGCATTAGCTATAGAGATAGAGAGGAGATCATGGCAGAGGGTTGCCCATACCCTCCATCCCTGTCCATTCCTAAAATCAACTGGTATTCAGGGCAATAAAGGGGTAGTTCACTTTAACAAGGACATCTGTGTTTTGATTGGTACTCTATCACTGAGGATATCACTAAAAGTCAACCATGCCCAGAATTTTACACATCCTGGGTGTATCCTGGCAGGTAGGAGTACCAGGTAGTTTAACTTCTTGTAAGTCACATGACAGCCTGAGGAACAGTAGACTGAGTTCTTAAAAACAAAACTCAAATCATTTGTTTGTATGTGTAGCTGTAAGTTGTCCAGTATACAGTTGAATACTATACTTACAGAAAAAATAAACTTCAGTGTACTACAGAGATGGCTTTTTGGGTACTTCGGATCTAGGCAGAGGTTCCCAAGAGAAATCTCAGTACTTTAGATCTGTTCCACTCCCTTTCTTTCTAACAAATCCTGTTGATCCAAAGAGAACAAGAAAAGACAAGAGCTTAAAAACCCTTTCAGGCCAGGCGGTGGTGGAGCACACCTTTAATCCCAGCGCAGAGGCAGGAGGATCTCTGTGAGTTCAAGGTCAGCCTGGTCTACAGATGAGTTCCAGGATGGCCAGGGCTACACAAGAGAAACCCTGTCTCAGAAAAAAACAAACGAACAACAAAAAAGCCAACTTCAGAACTGGATGCTTCTTTGAATTCTATTTCTGTGGTCTGTAAATAGCTATCTTGCTTGAGTGTAGTGATGCACACCTTTAATATCAGCATTTGGGAGGCAGAGGCAGACAGATCTCTCTGGATTTGAGGCTACCATGGTTTACATAGAGAGGACCAAGACAGTTAGGGCTACATATAGAGACCTTGTCTCAAAAGAGAAAAGTATCTTGCAAATAAATATCTATAGTCATCTGAATAATGGACACTAGAATTCAGTCACTGAGAAGATATTGCCAAATGATTAATTGATAACTAATTTTTGTTTGTTTGTTTGTTTGGAGACAGAGTCTCAAACATCTTATTCTGGCCTTAAACTCACTACGTCGTAACAGAGGACTCACCTTGGACTCCTGATCCACCTGCCTCCCCCTCCCAAGTGCTAAGGTTTCAAGTACACGCCACCACACGCCTGTGACTGGCCTCTTGAAAGCAAAGGTGCAGACCAGATGGTAACAGGATGGCATCAATGAACTGAAGAAGACAAACTCGAGGCCATAATTCTGTCCTTGTAAAGTCACTTTTCAAAAATGAAGCAATTTTTTTTTCAAATTACATTTTAGTAATGTGCTCTCACTAGACCTTTATTAGTAAAAATATAAATAAGCATTTGGACATGAGGCAAAATCATCCTAAATGTAAAGAAAAACTGGATATATTGTATGAAACATAGATAAATCTAAGTGACTGATGATTACCAAATAGCATGATCTTTTGGGTACTCAAAACTTCTAAAACTCTGCAGAAATAATAACAAAAGTTAGAAGAATTAATGAAATTAAGGTTTCCAAGGACCTAGTGTTAATTGTTAAAGAAGAAAATAATTAACAATTTCTGTTTTTAATTCTGTGGTAAGCCTTGCTTTGTTACTGATGCTGGCCTCCGAAAATACTTAAAAAGACATGACTGTGGGCTGGATTAAAATAGATTTGTGTTTTGCTGTTGGTAAGAGATATACATAAAATATAATTACATAGAAATATTGTAAGGAAAAAGAAATGCCTCAAAATTGATCAAAGAAAAGTGATGGGCAGATGACATAGGCATTCTGAGTTTAAGGCCAGCCTGAAATTTATAAGACTCCCCCCAATCTCAAAAAAAAATAAGTAAAAGGCGGGGCGGTGGTGGCACACACCTTTAATCCCAGCACTCTGGAGGCAGAGCCAGGCGGATCTCTGTGAGTTCGAGGCCAGCCTGGTCTCCAAAGCGAGTTCCAGGAAAGGCGCAAAGCTACACAGAGAAACCCTGTCTCGAAAAACCAAAAAAAAAAAAAAAAAAGTAAAATAGGTGTGAAAGTGTCATAGGTGGAAGAGTGGTTTAGCATGTGCCACCACACTGTTTGAAAACATCTGTGTTTTATCTGAACACTGGGTTTTTCTTTTTTTATTTGTTTTTGTTTTATGTGTATGGATGTTTTATCTGCCTATATGTCTGTGGAGACCAGAAGAGGGTGTCGGCTTCTGGAACGGGACAGTTGTGAGCACCTATGTAGGTACTGGAAAAGGAACTCAGGTCCTCTGGAAAAGCAGCCAGTGCTTTTAACTGCTAAATCATCTCTCTACCCCCTGAATTTTCTTATTTTTCCTCTTGAATACCTCATGTATTGTAGTTGCTTTTCTATGCTTTTTTTTTTTTTTTGGTTTTTCGAGACAGGGTTTCTCTGTGTAGTTTTGGTGCCTGTCCTGGAACTCACTCTGTAGACCAGGCTGGCCTTGAACTCACAGAGATCCGCCTGCCTCTGCCTCCCGAGTGCTGGGGTTAAAGGCGCGAGCCATCTATGCATTTTTATAGTTTTTACAGTTGCATGTAATAACTATCATTTTTGCACAATTCAACTATAACTGTGCTGTAGTTTTCATGTGTCAGACTTGAGTTGTAAACAGAAACTGCTGGGTTCTGGCTTCTGTACTAACATTCTCATAAACATTTCTATTTAGTGTTGTATTAGGACAGAGGCTTACAGAGTGATGGGATTGTTTTTGTCACTGTTTCTAATCTTGCCAGGGCTAGTAAGACAGTCATTTGTTTTCCAGATTGATGACATTGTAAAAGCTGTTGGCAACTGCAGCTACAACCAACTGGTGGAGAAGATCATCTCCTGTAAGCAGTCCGACAACAGCCAGTTGGTTAGTGAAGGTGGGTGAGTGCTGCCGATACCTGGTTAAACAATGTGCCTGGAAATTCATTTCACAGTTGTAAATTTCTCAGGTAGGACTTCTAAAACTGTAAGTGGTGGCTCTTGTAGGAATTAAAGAGAAGCATCTGTAGACATGCAGGAAAGGATTCTTCTAGAGCCCTCTTCTGCTGGCTGGGTGCTACAGAAGGCTTTGGACCACTTGCAGCTTTGGCACGATCAGATGTCCGATGATTATTACTTGGGCTTACTGAATGGGTTGCTTTACTGACCCTGAACCTCTACCTGAAGAGGGCATATGTATTTTCCACCGTGTCTCAGTGCAGTTCAGTATGAAAGCCTCATTCTGGAGCACAAGTAACCGACTAAAATTACTAAATTCACTGTCACAGAGACAGGTCATCATTTTTTCAGGGTTTTCCTCCTTTGGAGCCCCTCCCATTCTCAAGAGTTCTTTGCCACTTTTCCTCAATAAATCTACATTTACTCTGCTTTAAAAAAATATAGCATTTTTCAGATGTGCTCCAGTTAATAGTGAGTAAAGAGATTTGAAACCAGAATGCTCTAGGGCTGGAAGCCATTTGGATAAACTTTCACCACCATTCACTCCACTGCTTCCTAAAAGAACATAGTAAGGCTCAAGTTCTCCTTCCTTAGAATGGAAAAGAAAAGAAAGGAAGGAAGAAAGAAAGAAAAATCAAAAGATGCAAGGGCAAGGAGATGAGTCCCCCACTCTCACTCAGACACAGTTTTTCAACATGCAGCATAAGAAAAATTGATTATAGTTAACATACTTTTAGAAATTAAAGCTAGTGACTATAAGGATATATAATAGGCTAGGGACTGGGTAAGATGGCACATGCCTTTAATACCAGCACTCAGGAGGCAGAGGCAGGAGGATCTCTGTGAGTTTGAGGCCAGCCTGGTCTACATAGCAAGTTTCAGAACAGCCAGGACTACATAGAGACCCCATCTCAAAAACAAACAACAAAAGAATGGGCTAGGCTAGGGAGATGACTCAGTTGGTAAAATTCTTGTTGTGTAAGACCTGTGTTGGATTTCCTACATCCCACATAAAAACTAAACACTTCAAAGACAGGAACATCCTGGGGGCCAGCTGGTTAGCCAGTCTAGCTAAATTGCTGAGGACCCTGTCTCAGACACAGGTGGATAGTAACTGAGAAAGGCACCCTATACCAACCTCTGGCCCTCCACATGAATACCACACACACCACAAAACAAAAGATTATATAAGAGCATATAAAAAGTTGTGTGTACATAATCTCATCTTGACTGATCCTACTAATTGTATTAATTATCCAGGAGCTTTATATATTTATGCAAAAATGCAAGTAATAAAAAGTTATCCCTGTCTTTTACTTGAAAAGGTAACATAAGCTTATAGGAACATTGATCATTGGTTTGAGTGACATCTGTTTTATTACAATTTCAGGCAAAAATGTTTAAATTTTAGGAAGGAAACAAGCAATAAAGCTATCATAAAAATGTTTTCTGCCAGGTGTAGTGTCTCATGCCTCCTCTAATCCCACTGCTTTAGAGTCTGAGATAGGAGGACGGCCATGAGTTTGAGTCCAGCCTGAACAGTGTAGCTACATAGTGAGTCCAGGCCAATATGGGCTACAGTGTGAGATCATCTCAAAAAAACAAGAAAATCTTTTTTCTCTTTGTATGCAGAATTCTACTCACTAAATGTACTCCTTTCTTTCTACATTCCTGGTTTCAGATACATTCCTGAAAAGAAGACTATAAGGAAATTTCTATCTATGAAATCTACTTTATCAACAACACCCAATGTACTATTATTATTATACTATTCTAGGGTTGGTGAGATGACTCAGAGGTAAAGGCACTTCCCACAACAAACCTGATGACCTTAGTTTGATCCTCAGAACCCATGGCAGAAGGAGAGAACCAATTCCTGAAAGTTGGCCTCTAACTTCTACATGCATCCAGTAACATATATGCACAATACACATACACACTCTATAATAATAATAATAATAATAATAATAATAATAATAATAATAATAATAATGATGATGATCTTCAGGGCTGGAGAGATGGCTCAGAGGTTAAGAGCACTGTCTTCTCTTCCAGAGGTCCTGAGTTCAATTCCCAGCAACCACATGGTGGCTCACAACCATCGATAATGAGATCTGATGCCCCCTTCTGGCATATGGCAAACTTGCAGAAAGAACACTGTTAAATAAATAGATAAACTTGCAGAAAGAACACTGTTAAAATAAATAAATTTTTTTAAAAAAATGATTTTTAAAAATATACTTCTACTCTTTTATGATAATTAAAAGAAGAGTAAGAGTCAGAAAGTGGTAAGAAATAGAGTGATATCATAAAAAGGAGTTTGGGTGTGCATGTTATGGGTAAGAGGTCCCTGGAAACAGCCTGACAGCATCCTTCCCATGGCAGGCTGCGATTCTGCAAGGATAGGAGTTGGTAACACACTAATTAAATACAATGAACATGGAAAGGTCAATTCTTCCATCACTCCTCTTTTTCTCCCTAACCTGATAGTGTAAGTCATTGTTTCTCTGACACTGACTCCCCAGGATAATGGATAGGTGTAGGTACATAGTATGGATAATTGGGAAGGATATCTTGGCAAAAGCAAGAAAGGATCACCTACCCTGCAGTGCATCGAATTTTCGGGTGCATATACCATGCATGTTTATTATAAAGTCCTTGATAGGCCAATTTGATAGCAGTGAAACTATATGATTTTTTTATACTAAGAAGTAATCATATGTGAAGTTTATCACAGTTTGAAAGCTGGGATAGTTTTCTGATGATAAGAAATAGCAATATGGGGCTGGAGAGATGGCTCAGCCATTAAAGGCTAGGCTCACAACCAAAAATATAAGAAATAGCAATATGTAGTGCATTTGAAATAATACCAGTTATGACTTGTATAGGCCCCAAAGTTCACACAAACAAGGAAGAGCCACACTGGCTGTTTTCACTCACATTCCAGCAAGTTCTTCCCACGTGGTTTGTGGTCATACCACCTTGATTAATGTTCAAGAAGTAGCCCGGTTCCTTTTTATATGTAGCCTTCGACTGTATCTTCCTTTTAAATCAATAAAATATCCAAACTGGTTTATTTCTAGTTTTAGAAGCTTTAGTCTTAAATGACAACTACTTTTGTTTTGTTTTTAATCCAAGCATTCCATATGCCGTGAAGCCTCAGAATATAAGAAATACTTTACTAGCATTCTTTTGGTGGGGAAGAATGTTATGTAGCTGGTATCGGCAAAAGCAGCTTTTCTCTTGGGTGCTGACACCTTGTGAGCACAGCACAGTGTTGTTACAGTAAGCAGAGGTTCATGTCTGCTTCCTCTTTTGAATGGCCATACCTTCTTGAATCTGATTGTTCTAATGATTGCTTGTGACATGAAAATAAGAATCAATAAGAAAGCCCCCCACACTACCAGCTGCCAGACTCCCCACAAGCCAGTCATTTCGTTTCACATCTTTTAGAAGTAACTTCTTAATAACTATTCCTAGGATAAACACACACTTCTGAAACTAACTCCAGGATATTTACTCATTTACTCAAACTTCTTCCCCCCCCCCCCGATTGCATTCATATTGTCTTTATTAAGTAGTGGCAAGAATTATTAATTTATTAAGTAATATCCATCATTTTTTCTTTGCCCAAATTTTATTTTGAGACATCTCAAACATAAAAAGATTCTCTTGGTGAACATTCACTTGCTCTTAATTCACCACTTCTTCACACATTGAATACCTGCCTTTTTTCTGTATTCCTACACAACACATTGTTTCTTCTGAAATCGTATTAGAGCTAGTTGCAAATGTCACATCCCTTCACTCATGAGTGTGTCATCATTGTCTCTTGAAAAGAAAGGATTCTGTGTAACTTTCCCATTGTGATCACAGTGACCTCAGACAAGGCAGTGTCATGCTGTGTTACGTAGTATGTTGTTCATGTGCTTCCTTCCCTGGTTTTCTTAACCATACCCTCCAACTCTCCATCTCTTTCAGTGTACACTCCAGCCAAGGACCAGTCAGCAGTTGTAACAGCTTCAATCTCTGTCATTTAGAATAGATCCCTATTTTCCTTTCTTTTCTTTCCTGCTTTATTTTAAACCTTTGTTTTGTTCTTTGAGAACTTCATACAATATATTTTTATCGTATTCTTTCCTGATCCCCAACTTCTTCCAGATCCTTTCCTTTCCCTATCTACCCAACTTCATGTTCTTTTCTCTCTTTAAAAAAAAAAAAAAAGCTGGGGGCTGGAGAGATATGGCTCAGTGGTTAAGAGCACTGGCTGCTCTTCCAGAGATCCTGACTTCAATTCCCAGCAACTACATGGTGGCTCACAACCATCTATAGTGGGATCTGATACCCTCTTTGGGCATAAAGTTGTACATGCAGATAGAGCACTTATATATATAAAATAAATATTTTTTTAAAAGCCACCCCCAAAAAATTATGTGTGCTAGTCAAACACTCCTGAGCATGGGGCCTGCCCTGGAGTGTGGGGGATATACCTAGTGTCATTCCATTGAAGAAAATTGATTTTTTTCCCCTCTCCCTGGAGAAATCTAGCTGGTACTCACTGCAAGCTTCACCTCTGCTGGCTAGCATTCATAGTGGTAGAAGGTGCTGTACATACTCCTGGAGAAGTAAAGTCATCGTCAGTGTCACCCAGCTACAAACCCTGCGAGCTGTGATAACAACCTGCCTGCCAGATATGCCCACTGGTAGATAGGGGCTTGAATGGTATAGGAGTAACCAACCACTTTTTGGTGGGACTGTAAGGTCCACTCCATGAGATGGAACCCATATCTGATACTGTTAATGAGGCCAGGAACCTGACATTAGATAGGTCATGGGCCCAAGGGAAAACCTGCTACTACTGTTCTGCTAATGAGCACAGCAATAAAACAACTCCTAATGACACATTGGTCAATGCCTTGTTCAACCCACATCAGAAAAAACTTCTTATAGTATATGGTAATTAACACAAAGCTCCACAACTGGGCAACATGCAGAGAGAGAGAGAGACTTGGGAGTGTTCAGCCCTGAAAGAAATATCTCATCATAGCCCCTCCCTGTCAAAGTTCAGGGGTCTATATGGGAGAGGGGAGTGGAAGAGTCGAAGAGCCAGAGGTGGTAGGTGATTTTAAGGAGACAGCATTGTCCAGGAACAACAGGGCAGATGCACACATGAACTCATAGAGACCGTGACAGCATGTATAAGACCTACACAAGCTCAAGTCAGACAACACCCCCACTCCCACCCCAACCCCGTACAAAGGAAAGAACGTTGACACAAGCTCTACTGCTAGCCAAGAAGCTATTCTTTAAAACTTTTAAAAACATTGTTATTTTTTATGTGTGTGTGTGTGTGTGTGTACATGTGTGTACACCCCATGTATGGGGTGACCACTGAGGCCAGAAAGGGGCTTTAGATTCCCTGGAGTTGGAGTTAGAGGCAGTTGTGGGTGCTAGTGCTAGAAACCAAACTTGAGTGCTTTGCAACATCAGTATGTGCTTTTTTTTTTTTTTTTTTTTTTTTTTTTTTTTTTTTTTTTTTTTTTTTTGGTTTTTCGAGACAGGGTTTCTCTGTGTAGTTTTTGGTGCCTGTCCTAGATCTCACTCTGTAGACCAGGTTGGCCTCAAACTCACAGAGATCCACCTGCCTCTGCCTCCCGAGTGCTGGGATTAAAGGTGTGCACCACTGTCCGTCCATGTGCTTTTCCCCACTGTTCCATATTTCCAGCCCCTTTAAAACTTTCCTGCATTTGTGGCATTGCTCTCTTCCCCTCCACAGTCCTTCTCTACGCAACCTGCCCTCATCTACTCCCACTCTTCTCTACTAACATTTTTTAAAGAGTGAGGACCAGTATTTTATAGACTAGGCCCAATTTTTACTTAACTGATTGTTCTCTTATGAGTAGAGACAGGTGATAAAATTTTGGTTGGAATGCCACACAGATGACAGCCTCTATAGTTGTCTTCTTACTGCATCAAATTGGGTGCATTGGTAGATTATTCAGTGTTGGTTATATTTAAACTTGAGTGAGGTAGAATAGGCCAAATATCTTTATTGTAAAATTACCCTTTTCACTTTGTAATTAATAAGTAATAATGGGTAATTAATAATCTGTCCTAAGGCTTTGAAACTTAAAGCCTTTTCTCTAAGAATTGTATACTCAACAGATTGGGGACCATTGATTTTTAACTGAATCGATTATGGTTATGGTGGTTATTGTGTTTTTATTATTCCTTTTATACTTATTAACTGTTATTCTGTAAAAAAAATCTAATTAGTTAGTTGAACCTAGAGTAACCTTACCTATTTGGGATTAAAATTACTATTTAAGAGACAACAAAAGAAGATCCAGGAAAGGCACAAAGCTACACAGAGAAACCCTGTCTCGAAAAACCAAAAAAAAAAAAAAAAAAAAGAGAGAGAGAGACAACAAAAGAATTAGGAAACATTGTATTTTTAAACTGTTAATAAGTCTATGCCTTATGATTTGGGGTGATATGTAATTCAGGTGGAATTCATAATCATCTCCGCACTAAATTGGTAACATTTTAATACCAATAATAATTCCTTTGATCCCAGTTTTCATTTTGCCATAATTACTTTGGGCAAATCATCTATTTTCTGTGAGCCTATTTCCTATTCTATAAAAAGAAGACTGAAAAAGATGTGTCTATTGTTCATTTTTGAATTTCACACCAACATAATAGTAGTGTGCTCTGTCTCCAGTGAATTTTTTTGTATTTTCTCAAGGAAGCGTTTATGAGCATGGATACTGCAGCCAGGAGTACTTTTGAGCAAATGGTGCATCCTTTAATGTAGTACATAATAGTAAGAGCTTGAATACATTCTGGTGAACCAGGTGATGACAATAACATGAAGGGAAACTCATTTCCCAGTGTATAGACACAAGTGTGTGCTGTAGACCTCAGACTCTGCTCTCCCTAACCAAGTCCTTGTGGTTGTGCTGCATTGTAACTTTCTAACTCCTTTGAACCTCCGAGTGCCCTGGCCTGACAAAAAGTAATAGAAAAAGGAGTGCCCTGACCTGCCTTGCTCAGCTACACTCACTGGGCTTACCAAGATTCCCACCAAGTTATTTTCAGCCTCTTATTGAAGTATCTCTCAAGACAAACTCAACTTGACTCTGCACTTCTTGGTATGCTCTCTGACTCTCTCTCTCTCTGTCTCTATCTCTCTATATATCTCTGGTTTTTTGAAACAAGGTCTCACTGTGTAGCCCTGGATGGTCTGGAACTCACTTTTTAGACCAGGCTGGCCTTGAACTCACAGAGATTGAAGGCATACACTACCGTGCCTGATTTAGCTCTCTTATAAAATGTTATAGAGTGACTGACTTCCCTGTTGTTGTTTTATTGTGTCTGTGTCTCTTGTAAATCACCTGAAAGAGTTTTTGTAAGTTAAGAAACTGCACCTGTGGATGAAAGCCATTTCATGTCATTGTTTCTTCAGGACAGGAATGACCAGGGACACTGCTCCCATAAGAAAATTAGAAAGATGCATCTCCAATCTGGGGGCCATCATGTAACAGGAACATTGGCCTTTGTATACAGTTGGAACAATGTAAATAGGAAAAATAACTTTCTAATTTTGAAATGATTCTTCCTTCTCATAGTACACATTGGTTCCATAGGCTTTGTAGCTGAGCAGTTTCTAAACAATACAGCCACTCAACTGACGTACCATGGATTATGTGAACTGACTTCAACGGTTCAGGAAGGAGAACTCTGTGTGTTCTTTCGGAATAATCATTTTAGCACCATGACAAAACACAAGGTAGGCTATAGAAACAGATATTTTTTACTCTCAATCAAAGGAGCTTGATTTAGAGATGTGTTTAATCTGCTACAGAATAAGATTGAGCTTAATATTCCTTAGCCATCAGTTGTGAAGGTAATTATTATTAAATACTGCGTTAAAATGGAATGGGTTAGCAATTGAAGCTTTTATTTTAAATGAAGTCTCAACTTCTTTATCACAGATTATTGCATTCAGTTGTTTACTTTTCTACTTTCTTGGAGAGAGGACTTCACTGGGTAACTCACACTGGCCTTGAATTTGAGATCTTCCTGTCTCAGCCTTTGGAACACTGGGATTAGAGGCATGTGCTCTCATGCCTAGCTAGGTTATTTCTTACTTAGAGAAAACAAAATACCTAGAGCTAGAACCAGGGTGGTTATGAATGAAGGATGTTTATATTTAAGCATTAAAAGATACTAGAAGTTAGAATTAAGATTTACCCTAAACTGGAATGTGTTGGTGCTTGCATGTGATCAAAGCTACTGAAGAGGCTGAGCAGAAGGATTACAAGTTCAAGTCCCTACCCCTAAACACACACAAATTATCTTTATGACAGTGTTGGCTTTTATTAAAATTATCAGTGTATTTATGGTTTTATACACATACACACACTCTTATGAATCCATCCCTTTTGTTCATCTCTTAGATCTGTCTCTTGATTTTACAGGTAATATCTAGTTCAGGAGTTTATCATCAACCTAGATGGCAGAATGCTGTTCTTACCGTGTGGATAATACAGCACAGATGTTCAGTTAGCACCTGTGTCTAGAGGATAAAATGCAGGGTCCCTCTGCCACAGCTCCCATCCTATATGTGTTACTGCCATTCTTATTTCTTCATACTATTTGGGAAGCTTTCCTCACTTCTGTTTGCCTATCCCAAAATTACCCATCCTTAAAGAAGCGTTTCAAATACTAACTTACTGAAAGGTACCCCTTTTCTACTTAAACCAGTGGTTCTCAGCCCTGATTGTATCCTAGACCTATCTGAATGGCTTTAAAAAAAAAAAAAAATACTAGTGCCCAGAACTTACCACTAATACAATTAAATTAGAATCTCTAAAGGAGGTGGGACCTAAACACTAGTTTTTGTTGTTGTTGTCATCTGTTTTGTTTAGGGTTTTTTTGTTTGTTTGTTTTTTGCAATCTAAAGGATTAGACCCAGTGCTTTTACACATGCTAGGCAAGCACTCCACCGTTAGGCTACACTGTCTGTCCTGCATCGGTGCTTCAGATGCTCCCCAGGTGATTTTAATGTGAATCTAAGACTGAGGACCACTGCTGTACTCATCCTCTACCTGTTAGTGGCCACATTGTCCTTATTGAGCTTTTACTGTTTTGTGTCGGTTACCAGTTTGCCTCCCATGTAAATGTCTGTTTATTTTCTAAATGAAGGTAGCTTATTGAAGTTATAAATCACATCTTCATGTTTCTATCTATGCTTTTAAATCAATGGATGACATGGGGTAGTATAAAATGATTTGTTTGCCAATGAAAGAAAACCCCAAAGCCATGGCTCTTCTGTTACTGTCGTGTTTTAAGAAGAGTACATTTTGTTACCTCAGCTTCATAGTTAGGAGTGTGTGAGATGTCAGATGAGAGCCATTCACATTTCTCAGGAATTGAAAGTTGGAGTAAGTCAGATCTGAATGGCTGCTCCGTCATCTTGCTTTCCTTGTCCTCTTCAGACCTTGGATCTGCTGATTAACAAAGCCAAGCTAACCCTGACAAGTGCAGCCGTAGATACAGCAGCCGTGGTTCCTGCCATTTAAGGACTTCTTTGTTTGATACTGAGATGCTTATGTCAAGGGCACGTACCACGAACTCTGAGAGCTCTTATCAGGACTGTGTTGGAAAAACTTCCCTGAGAAGGTCATATACATACAAGCCTAAGGACTTGAGGTGTACAGCTCAGTGGTAGAGCACTTGCTCAGCATGCACACACAAAAAAAAAAAGAAAGAAAGAAAACTTCTGAAATATGAGAATGAATTATCTGAGTTTAATTGGTTAACAACAAAAAGAAATAACTAAGCAGAAATAACTAGCAGCAAGTATGTAAAGGCCCTGAGGTAGTCACATTAAAAGAGAGTTGTGAGTGGAAAATTAGAGGTAAGATTTTTGTTTTCTGGCTTTTGTTTTGTTTTGTTTTTGTTTTTGGAGACAGGGTTTCTCTGTGTAGCCCTGGCTGTCCTGGAACTTGCTCTGTAGACCAGGCTGGCCTTGAACTCAGAGATCCACCTGTCTGCCTCCTGAATGCTGAGATTAAAGGCATGTGCCACCACCACTTGGCTGAACCTTGTTTTCTTAATGGCACTGGTGTTCCTTTTCTTCTTCTTTGGGCCCAAAAGTGAGTAGGAATGAAATAGTTCTTTGAGAAAACAAGGTCTCTGGCTGTCATTGGTGGCTGAGAGCTTTCCCTCTTCCTCTCTCTACCCCTTCCCCTCTCACCCCTCATTTCCTATGTGCTAGGTAAGCACTGTACCATAGAGCTACATCGCCTCTGATGTTCTCTGTTCTAGTAAAGACTTGTCCCCAGCCAGGAAGCCTTTACTAGCCAGTTTGGTATCCCCAATTTTGTGTGGTTGAAGAGGATGTGCCTGTGTAGACTAAGCAGGCCTATCTGTAAGGTCATGGGAGCTCAGACAATATGTATGTTCTGCCTTTTTTTCTGCTTCTAAGGTTTCCTATTAAGTTGATTCTGTAGCTTAACAATGCTGCACTGGTGTCATGTGCTCTCATGCCCCTTGTGTGACATTAATTTGCTTCAGACTTTGAGAGTGGACGTGGAGTATAGTTAGGAGATACCCCAAAAGATAAAGGAAGGAGATTATAGTGATTTGGACAAGGGCTGCTAATGGCCGTGCACTGTGAAAAGATTCCAGAGTGGGTCAGGAGATAGATCAGCCAGATATCTCCACTGGATTTGAAAAATAAGTGATTTCTGAGTCCTCTGTGGATGGTGATGTTCCTTATTGAGTCATACGTGGCTGGCCATGCATGGTGGTTCACACCTTTAATCTTAACACTTGGGAAGCTGAAATAGGTGAACCTCTGTGGGTTCAAGACTAGCCTGGTCCACATTAGCAAGTTCCAGGCCAGCCAGTTATAGGAGGCTGTCTCAAAACAAACAAAAGAAACAGATATAAGAAAAAAAAGATATAGTGTTAAGGGTCTGGGATGTAAGAAGTACTTCTGAGGTGAACTTCAGTGTGGAAATACTGAGGGAATGCTTTGGACTGATAGAATTTTAGGATTTATAAGAAAATACAGAAATTGGGGGACGGGGTTACAAGATGAGGAATCAAAAGAGAAAACCTAGGATAGAGATTTAAAGAATGTCAACTTTTAAAGAATCACCTCAAGGAAGAAACATTAGTAAAGACAGCTGAGAAAGAAGAGGGCAAGGGGGAAATTAAGAATGTAGCATAAGCTGGGCAGCGGTGGTGTCGCACACCTTTAATTCCAGCACTCAGGAGGCAGAGCCAGGCGGATCTAGGTCAGCCTTGTCTACAGAGTGAGATCCAGGACAGGAAACAAAGCTACACAGAGAAACCCTGTCTCAAAACAAACAAACAAACAAACAAAAAAAGAGTGTGGCATCTAGGAAGCTAGGGGAGAAGAGATAAGAACCCTGAGGGTAGACATGGGAGGAGGGGACAGGCGTGGCAACAAAAGAATCTGAGTTACTTAAGAGTGGCTGGAATGGAGAAGGCCATAGTGGCAACTCTAGAAATGTTTGCTGAGGACTGGAGAGATACTTCAGTTAAGAGCACTGACTGTTCTTCCAAAGGACCTGAGTTTGAACCCAGGTTGTGTGACTCCTGCGCACGCGCGCGCGCACACACACACACACACACACACACACACACACACACACACACACACGTAAAAAAAATAAACATAAAAAGAAACTTGGTTTTTTATATATAATGGTTTGCCCGAAAAGGAGATGTTGGACTTAAGGGTGGTGGCTTCTCTTCGTAGGGGCTTTAGAGGTATGGAACCTAAGGTTGGTGATTTTCATGTTTTTGTTTGTTACACTTTGTTTTATGAGGTGATTTTACTGTGTAGCTTTGGCTGGCCTGAATCTCACTGTGTAGATCAAGCTGGCCTTGAACTCATAGAGATTTACCTGTCTCCTAAATTCCAGAATGAAAAGTGTTCTACCACCATGCTCGGTCTCAGACTTTTTATATTGCTAGCTCACCTCAAATGATATTCCCACCTCAGGTTCCCTGCACTAGTACCACAGTCATATGCCACTGCACCTGCATCTGGCTCTTGGGTTGTTTTGTTTGTTTGCTTGTTTGTTATTCATTATTATTGAGGAGTGTTCAAAGTTTATGTGATAGCTCGGACACAGACACTGTGTGCCGTGGAGCACTTGTAAGGGGACAACTTTGGCGAATCAGTACTCTCTCTACCATATGGGTCCCAGGAATCAAACGCAGGTTGTCTTTACCCCCGAAACCATTCCACCGCCTCCCAACAACCCCCCCCCCGTTTGTTTTTAACGTTAGAGACTCGATCATTTTAAAACATTGACAGACTCCTTAGAGAGAGGAAAAGTGAAGATTCCAAAGATGTTAGAAGCAAAGCATAAGAAGCATAGGTATCTTTCCACAGGTGAAGAACATCAACATGTGATTTTATTTTATTATTTGTTTGTTTTGAAACAGGGTCTCACTATGTGGCTCTGGCTGTCTTGAAACCCACTCTGTAGACCAGGCTGGCCTCAAACTCACAGAGATCCACCTCTCTATGCCTCCTGAGTGCTGGGACTAAAGGCATTCACCACCTCACCTGACCAGCCCGGGACTTTCAAAGGGATCTGTCTATCTGTGCATTATAGTGAGGGAGAGAACAGGCTATGAGGTTTGCTTTTGCTTGCCTTGTTCCTGTTAGAGATTAGAAGTGAAAAGTAGAGTTCTGGGTGACAGTAACGCTGGTGAGAAACAAAGATATAGTTCCAGGAGTAGCAGAGGGGCAGAGAAACTTGCTTGACGGGTTCTATAAGCCCTGCATTCATTCACCAGCACTGATAAATAAATAAATACAGTAATATCTTGTTAATTCTTTTTACACTTTCACTAAGAGTGCTAGCTTCTTTCCCACAGATTGCCACATTGAAGTGAAAATCCATTTAGTTGTTTTAAAGGTGACTGATAAATGAGAAACTTATTTTAAAGATAAGAAAGGGAAGAAATGTGGAAGTAGGAGTAGGGGAGGGACTCCACAGGCAGAAGTTTGCCCTTTTCCCTTAAGTAGGGGCAGAAGGGACACTGTGCTGTTGATCAAACAGCAACAGGACAAAGGACATGTGTAGCTCAGTCCTTTCAAACACCAACGGTGCTGGAGAGGTGTCTCAGCTTAAGAACATGCACTGCTATTGCAGAGCACAGTTCAGTCCTCAGCACCCATGTCAGCCTGTGACTCCTGCTTCAGAGGCTCTGACACACTCCTGGCCCATGGGCCACTGCACCTGTGCACCAACCCACACATGGACACATGGGGCTTGTTGTTGTTGTTTAGGAAAGGCTGGTTTGGGTTAGAGTGGTCCTATCAGCATACTTTTGTTAAGTAAATAAAATCAGACAATGTAATATATTTTTTGCATATGCTTTCTGGTTGTATCTTTCTATTTTATGAAATGAAACTATAAACAAACTATAACTGTTTGTCAGTTAACATGTCAGAAGCTCATTATCTCCTGATATACTGTGCTATGCTGACTACCAACCAGCTCCAGGCAAAACCAGGTGAATTTGAGCAGATGTCCGCTTGGTCTTTTTATTGAGTTGCACAGATCCAGTTAAAATAATTACTGTACTTCAAATATACGGCTTTAAAATGTTCCTTAAATTTAATGTTGGCTAGTTTGGGAGAATTTAACACTCCTTTTTCATTTGTTATTTCTTATTAAGGGTCAACTGTATTTGTTGGTAACAGACCAGGGATTTCTTACCGAAGAAAAAGTTGTCTGGGAAAGCCTACACAATGTAGATGGTGATGGAAATTTCTGTGACTCAGAATTCCATCTGCGACCTCCTTCAGATCCTGAGACTGTGTACAAAGGTCAACAAGACCAAATAGATCAGGTAAAATTGTTTTTCCCCACCACCCATTACATTGTCTAAAGTGCATATTCTCTTTCTTTTCTTTTCCTTTTTTTTTTTTTTTTTTTTTTTTTTTTTTTTTTTTTTTTTGAGACAGGGTCTTGCTATACAGCCTTAACTTGTCTGGAGTTCCCTATGTAGACCAGGCTCCCTTGAACTCAGAGATCTGCCTACCTCTGCTTCCCAAATGCTGGGACTAAAGACTTATGTCACCATGCCTGGCTAAAGTGCATACTCTTTTTTTTTTTTTTTCTGGTTTTTCGAGACAGGGTTTCTCTGTGTAGTTTTGGTGCCTGTCCTGGATCTTGCTCTGTAGACCAGGCTGGCCTGGAACTCACAGAGATCCTCCTGGCTGTGCCTCCTAAGTGCTGGGACTAAAGGCGTGCACCACCGCTGCCCAGCTTAAAATGCATACTCTTAATTGAGGCATGGTGATGTACCCAGCTGCTTGGAAGGCTGAGGAATGTCACTGAGCTCACAAGTTGGAAGCAGCCTGGGCAACATAGCAAGGAAAAAACAAATTCTTTTCAAGTGTCAGGTTTTTTTTTTTAATCTAAAAGTGTTGATTCATCTGTTAATTTTATTTATTTATCTATTTATTTATTTATTTATTAGTTTTTTGAGACAGGGTTTCTCTGTGTAGCCCTGGCTGTCCTGGCACTCACTCTGTAGACCAGACTGGCCTCAAACTCACAGAGATCTGCCTACCTCTGCCTGAGTGCTGGGATTAAAGGTGTGTGCCACCACTGCCCGGCTATTCATCCATTAATTTAGCTGTGAGTTCTCATATTTCCTAAATAGGAAAGTGATCATTCTATAGTTTCTATATGAACATCAGTTATACGCTATGATTCAGAAGGTTGAGTGTGTTGAAGGGTCATAGTGAGGACTTTGAAATTCATTCTAATTACAATAGAACAATTATATTGAGTGTTAAATGTGGAAACTGCATGAACTATGTCATGTTTTTAAAAGACTGCTATGTGGAGAATACATAGGAAAGAGATAGGCATAAGCAGAAACCAGTAATCCACTTTATTGTATTTATTTACTTAGTTTGTGTGTGGGTGAGTTTGTGTACCACAGTGCACCTGGAAGTCAGAGAATAGTGTGCAGATCTGTCCTTTCCTACCAACCATGTGGGTCCGAGGAATTGAACTCTGGTCATCAGGCTTGGCAGTAGGAGCTTACACACACACACACACACACACACACACACACACACACACACACACACACACACATTGAGACAGGGTTTCTCCATGTAGCCCTGGCTGTTCTGGAACTCGATCTGTAGACTAGACTGGCCTCAAACTTCAGAGATCCACCTGCCTCTGCCTCCAAGTGCTAGGACTAAAGGTGTGCACTACCACCACCCAGTGAGAGACAGACAGATAGACAGAGAATAAGTAAGTTAGAAAAATAATAAATTAGGTATAACTTTGACCAAAATGAACTTTTTCTCATAGGAGATAATCTAGGTATGTAGCTAGGAGAAGATGTAATTACCTAGTTATTGAATTTGACCATAGCTACATTGACTTTAAAACTCATCTTTTGGGGCCAGGGAAATAACTCAGTTTTAAAGTGCCTGCTGCCCACACATGAGGGCCTAAATTCAATCCCCAGAACCAATGTAAAAAGCTGGGAATGGTTGTATGCACTTATAATCTTAGTGCTGAGGAGGCAGAGACAAGATGATCCCTGGGACTCACTGGCCAGTCATGAAAACCGGAGTTCAAATTCCCAACATCCATATAGAAAGTTGGGCATGGCAATGCATCCCTGTAACCCCAGCATTAGGGATGGAGACAGATGTCTCCTGAGAGCTGGTTGACTACCTGGCTTAACTTAGTCCAAAAGATGAACTTCTAATTCACTAAGGTACCCTGTCTCAAGACTGTAATATAGAGAGTAACATGGACTGTCTCAAGACTGTAATACAGAAAGATACCTAATGTCCTGCTCCAACCACCAAAGGTGTGCACACATGCACATGACTGTACTACCCCTCCCCCCACCCCACACACACACAGAAAGAGAGAAAAAAAAACATGAATGACACTTGAGGTTGTCCTCTGCTTTCCACTCAAAGGCAACTTTGAGGCCAGCCAGGTCTATATAGCAAGGGCCTACCTCAAAAATGAGTAAGGGACTGGAAAGATGGCTCAGCAGTTAAGAGCACTAGCTGCTCTTCCAGAGGACCCCAGTTCAATTCCCAGCACCCACATGGTAGCTCACAACTGTCTGTAACTCTAGTTCCAGCAATCTGGCACCCTCACACAGGCATACATGCAGCCAAAAAAAAAAAAAAAAAAGGAAAGAAAAAGAAAAAGAAAAAAAAAGAGAGAGTAATTAAATAATGTAAAATAAAAACAAAAATCATTCTTTGAGCTGTATAGGTCATATATAGCTGTAATCCCAGCCCTCAGGAGGCCCAAGCACAAAAATCTGAAACGGAGACCAGCCCAAGATACTTAGTAAGACCTTGCCTCAGAGCAAAACAAAACAATTTTGAGGGGAGGGGGAGAGAATTGAATAAATAATCTTATGAAGTTCTTAGACTATTTTAAAAACAAATGTTAAATTAAAAATAAAAGCTTAAAATAGTGTTAGAGGGTGGGAGATATGTTTGAATTTCTATGTGAATGTAGAAAATACTAGATGGCTATAAATACTCAACAGTTACATCTGTTACAGTGATTTCAGCTTTCCTATTTCTGGTTTTCTATCTTGTCTGCATGTTCCATACTCACATGTTTCTTTTGTAAACAAAGAGAACTTTTTTCAGTAGCTTTCTTGAATGCCTTATTTATTGCTTGTAGAAAAGATTTCAAACAAATTCTAAAACTCTGTAGAGCAATGATAGTAATGAAGTAGATTTGTAGCTCTGCAAAAAAAAAAAAAAAAGTGCTTAATAGAGCTGTAAAAACCTCTTCTGTGAAAGCCATTCTCTGAGCTCGTTGATGGGTGTCTGTCTTCACGCTGGCTGGGTCCTGGGTCACATCTCAAAGCTGAAGCTGGTTGTGATTGAACTCCTCAGGACTACCTTATGGCACTGTCACTGCAACAAGAACAGCAGAGCCAAGATATCAACTGGGAGCAAATTCCAGAAGGAATCAGTGACCTGGAGTTGGCGAAGAAACTCCAGGAGGAGGAGGACAGACGGGCCTCTCAGTACTACCAGGAGCAGGAGCAGGCACAGGTGGCCGTGGCTGCTGCCACCACCTCCACACAGGTCCAGGTAAAGCTGCAGCTCTGTGACTCTCAAACATGACAGTCACTTTAGCAGCAAGAAAGTGTCTGTTTGGCAGAAGCAGTTGTAAGTCAGCTCGGGCTTTTCAGCTGTGTTAGCATGGCAGCACCCACGGCTTTGAGGTTGTTGGTTTGCTTTGGTTTGGTTTTAGATTTATTTCATGTGTATGAGTGTTTTGCTTGCATGTATATCTGTGCACCATGTGTGTGCCAGGTGCCTGCAGAAGTCAGAAGAAGGCATCAGATCCCCTGGAACTGGAGTTAGAGACAGTGGTGAGCCACCACGGAGGTGCTGAGAATCAAACCTGGGTCCTCTGCAGGAGCAGCCAGTGCTCTTAACTGCCGAGCCATCTCTCTAGCTCTTCCTGTGGAAGTTCTTCACATTGGTCTAAGTTTTTTACTATCCTAACATATTTCTGATTTCATGAAGACATTTTCTTAGAGGTTCTGATAAGATTATTTAGCCTTTTTCTTTTAAGACCTTTAAAGCTACAAACTATAAACTTGAACAAAGTACTTCCTTTCAGCTAGAGACAGTCTGAGGTTTTGCTACAAAGAGTGCAATTTTTGGAGCCACAGAGACATGGGCCTATAGTTCCTGTTGGCTCCTGCTCCTCCTTCCTATTGCAAACACTTGGTTAAAGCCCTCTGCCTCTCGGGGCCCCTTTCCCTATCAGTAAAACTTCATCTTGAGGTTTCTTTAGAAACAACAGTGCTGCCATTTAACTCAATTTCTAACACATACTCAGCACAAGCTAGCATCCCTCTCCTTGGCATTTTTGTTGATTTGTGTTTTAAGCAGCAAAGTATGACTGTCACACAGGTTTCTGCACGCTAAATCTCATTTTATGAATTGAAAAGTGTCCCTTTATTTGACGCTAACCTACACCATGCCAGAAGCCTTCCCTTTGGCTTGGGCACACAAGAAAACAAGATGTCTTTTAGGATCTCCTGAAACCAAGTACAGAACTCACCATTCACGGGACTGGGGCAGGGGCTCAGCAGGTGAGAGTATTTGGTGTGTAAACGTGAAGCCCTGAGTTCAAACCCCAGTACTCACATCAAAGGCCAGACATAGCCATATGCCTGCAACCCCAGAACTGTGGTGGGCAGGTAGGAGGGTCTCACGGGCTTGCAGGCAACCTAACGAGCTCCAGATTCTGGAGAGAACATCTTTCAAGAAAATAAGGCTGAGAGTGACAGAGGACACCAGATGTACACCTCGGACCTTGCACTTATAACACACACACACACACACACACACACACACACACACACACACACACACACATATACTCTCTCCATCTCTTTCTTCTCTTTCATTAAAATACATGTAAAACCTGCCTCTTTCGCCGGGCGGTGGTGGCGCACGCCTTTAATCCCAGCACTCGGGAGGCAGAGCCAGGCGGATCTCTGTGAGTTCGAGGCCAGCCTGGACTACCGAGTGAGTTCCAGGAAAGGCGCAAAGCTACACAGAGAAACCCTGTCTCGAAAAACCAAAAAAAAAAACTTGCCTCTTTCTTAATCAAGCACTAACTATTCAAGCTTAGTAGGTGAGTCCTACCATGTTAGAATCAGCTTTCCATTTCATTCAAGTTCTCTGATCCCATAGCACACACTTATTTTATACTCTCAGTTCTCAGGATTCTTGATTTTTGCTTTCAAGATCTGTTTGTTATGGTGTTTAATGAAGTCCTGATGAAATATTATAGTTTACCAAAATTGAAAGTTTAGCATAAAATTTTTTTTTGGTTTTTTTGTTTGAGACAGAGTTTCACTGTTTAGCTCTGGCTGCCCTGGAACTCACTTTGTAGATCAGACTGGCCTCGAACTCACAGAGATCCACCTGCCTCTGCCTTCCAAGTGCTGGGATTAAAGGCCTGTGCCACCACTGCCTGGCTACGTAAATATTTCTTAAACTAGAAGCTTAAGTAGTTATAGATAATTTTGTATTTAGAATAATGAGTACATAATTAATTTCACATTAATTATTTGTGTCAGATATCCTGTATATTAATTACTTTTCTCACACCTGACAGAAGCAACTTAGAGAAAAAGATTTGTTGAGATTTACAGTGAAGGGTACAGTTCACTGTAATGGGGAAGGCAGAGTTGGACGGTGCTCGGTTGGTGAAGGTGGGAGTTGGTGGCACAGCATTCCCTGTCCTTTCCATCAGGAAGAGCCGGGCAGGAAAACATGCCCTGCCACTTCCCTCATACCCACCCTTATATGGACTGCTAGGCCCTTTTCCCTAAGATACCCAAACTTCCCACAGCAACAGGCCAGCTGTGGACCAGGACCATCACCCAGCTGAACCCTAACACCTGTCAACAGAAGCCATGCAGCCAAGCATCTGTTTTTGTGAGGGTGCCTTGTGGTTCTAGCTAGCTCTGATTCAGTACCCAGGAAAGCTAGTCATCTCTTCCTGTGTGTGTTTCTCATACAGCAGGGCCAGCCAGCACAAGCCTCTCCATCAAGTGTAAAACAGCCTGGAAATAGTGAACGGAAACGCAAGGAACCCCGGGAAAAAGACAAAGAGAAAGAAAAGGAAAAAAACAGCTGTGTGATTTTGTAGGAAGTGTTGGCATCTGGAAACCACCTATGCAGATGACGGAAAGGAAGACCCAGTACCTACCGTCTGTGCCTGATCTCCCAAGGGATTTTGCTCTTGTTTTCCAGGGGAAGGTTGTTACTTTGTTACAATCAACTTTTTAAGTTACACAATACACTCTTTATGAGCTGGAGTTTTATGTTACAAGTTGGAACTGTTGTGTGTTGTCACTTGTAGCCAAATAAGTATATCACTCCTACTTTGTTTTTAGTGACATGGAAACTCTAATCAGTTAGTAAGCTACTGTGTTCTGTCTGACAATGGATGGAGGTCACCTGAGTGAGTCCAATCCTTCTAAAGATGTAATTATTAGCACAACTATTTCTGAAACATTTGTTAAATTATGTTCTAATCCATAAAAAATGAGGAGTTTAATATAGGGAGAGAAAAAAAGCAGGAATAAATGACCCTTCATTGTACATTGAACTGGTTCAGCCCTTGAACAGCTTTACCTTTCTTTAGTAATGTACATTTTAGCTATTATCTTGAGAACTGATAATGGAGCTTGGATCCAATTTAGATAGAAAAAATATTTTTTATTTTCCAATAGCAAAAAAAAATTACATGACACTAATATGTATAACCTATCCAAATCAGATACTGACTTTGTAGTGTTGTGAGATTCTGAGGAATTTTAACACCTTTAGGTAACCTGAATGGTGGGTTTTTTTTGTTTGTTTGTTAAGGATGTAGTTAGCGAGTGAGGAGGAGACCACACTCATGTTCAGCCTTGTAAATATGATGGCAGAGAAGAGCAGAGTTCACTGTCTACCTTTTTCTAGAATTACCTTGAACCTTAAATTTTAAATCATGTTTATTGCTAGAAAATTAAGCATAGTTATTTAAACCAATAAAAAGCACATTTCTGAAGGAGAGTTAATCTCTTGACTCTAGTGAAAAGATATTAATAAAATTCTGAACATAGCAGGAATCTGAAGGAATTTATGTAAAAGCAATCAGATTTTTTAACTTAATGAGAACCAAATAAACCTAAGACATCTTATATCATTTATAGGATTCTGGAAGAATATTTACTCAGCTTTGTGATGAGGCAGCACATATTGTATTTCTAGATCCAGTTTGGAAAACTATCCTTAACAGTCCTTTTTCTATACTTTGTATTTGAAGTTTGTTTCAGTCATTTTTAAAGATTTTTGCTGGTGCAGATAGCTGTGTGATTTGCCCTAAGCCTCAGTAAACTTGTTTATTCAGGAGCATCACAAATTGAACGTCCAGTTAGAGACTATTTCTTGTGATCTGGAGGCAACGAAAGACTACCCAAAAAAAGTAGTCTAGAGTTTCTTAAGACTATTGTCATTAACATTCTCCATGATCCCAAACCAGCTGTAGGATGAATCTGTATGTAAAAAGTAGAGTTTTATTTATGAAAAGTATTATTCTAAGGGGAAAAAATTCAGGGCCATGCTGTATCCTTTATATTCTTCTCTATTACATGTCTATTTATGTTCTTTGTTATTTCTTCAGATTTCCTATGCTAGCATGGGAACTAATCAGAGAATATGCCGGGGTATAGAATCTGTGTATAAAATACTTGGTCAGTCTCTTGGTTCCAGCCTAGGGTGAGTACGAATTGACAGCGGTCAGACCCCTTCGGGTGGCCTGACCTCAGCACAGACACCCATGACAGACAGCACTCTGATGATTAAAGGAGAAAGCTCAAACCTCAGGGTTTGCTTTTCCCAGAACAGTCTATTATTTTAATTTAAAAAACGATAAACCTTGAGTGATTTTAAAAAATATACTTGAGGCATATTTTTCCATAATTATATACAATATCTATTTATTGCCCTTGAAGAATCTATATATAGAAATTATTGTTATTTTTACTATCTTAATTTGTTCCAAAGATAATACTGCCATACTGCATTCCCTCTAGAAGAAAAAAAGAAAACACAACTCACTCAAAACCAGCATCTCTGCTATCAGATAAGTAGACGTCAACGTGCACTTATGACAAGCAATGCATTGTTTGCTAATTCAGTCTTTCCTAATGTCAGATTTCCAAGTCGGTCTTGGCTACATTCCTGGAATGGTTTGATATGACAAGAGTCATAATAAGATATTTGTTTTGATTACTGGGGGGGAAATTAAATGTTTGACTCTATTAAAACAAATTTCTGAGCTGCTTTTCTGTCCTCAAAGGTTGTCAAGGATCTAAACTGCTGTGTGCTTATTTCCTATGTTCTGCTCAAGGTAGCAAGTGATATTCAGGCATATTGTTCCTTATTTGGGTACATAGGACATTGAAATGGTATTTTGAGGGATTTTTCCCCTCATAATACTTTGTAATACTTGAAATTGTTATACATATCTTGCTAACGGATGTTAAAATTTAAACATTTTGGAGCTTAGTGTTTCTAGGCTCAATTTCAGGCACATTTGACTCATGTGCCCCCTCAGCATGAGAGCTGCAGAAGCAGGTGGAGGAGCAGATATGGTCCCTGGCTTTTCTCTTGCTTTCAAAGCACAGTCTCAAGGTTATTGGCCAGTCTTTATTAAGGTGGATTTCTCATGAGTAACCCCATTGTATTAACAGTGCTATGACTTGTGCTAGTTTATCAATACCTAGAAGCGTGTGTGTGTGTTTCTGAAGCAGGTTTCCATGACTTCTGTTTGAGTCTCAAAGCAAAACTTCCTATCAAATTTAAAAGTTGTCATTTTAAAAATATGCACTCAGTAGGAGCTTACACACACACACACACACACACACCAGGTCTAGGAGTGTCACCCAGTGGTAGAGCATTTGCCTGGAATGCTCAAGGCCCTGGGTTCAATCCCTAGAGCATGTATATGCGTATACACACTGAGTATGGTGTAAAGCAGTTAATCATGGCATCGGCTTTATGCCCAGCCAGTATTCATGGGTAGAATAACTTCTTCCATGTTTTAAGGTCAGGATAGGATTTGAGCAAGACAGAGGCTTAAGTTTGGGATTAGGTTTATATCTATCTTGTTTTTATTGCCTCACTTTTTTTCAGTTGGACAATTCATCCCCTATTATGTTTTGAATTCGTCCTCATGTTCCTAGATCTTGGCTTACCTAAGCAAGTTAATATCAGATATAAGTTGACTAAACTCATGTTAGCCATTCTGTACTCACACGATACCTTCATAGCATCTTGTTTTCTGTGAATCATAAACTCAATGCAGAGCCTGAGGACCAGAAGGCATGGGAGGGAAAGGTATGCCTTGTGATCACTATGTTAGCATGTGGACAGACCTCCTCTGTAAAATCCTAGCAAATCAGGGCAGAATTTCTAGAACTGCCTCAGTCTTGCTTAAACTTTTAGACATGGTCTTGCTGTGTAGCCTGCTGACCTGGAATCAACTGTTGTAGCCCTGGCAACCTTCAAACCCAGAATCGTCCTGCCTCAGCTTTTCACTGCCATGATTATAGGTATATGTCACCATACCCAGCTCATTTAAACTTTCTTTTGAAAAGCAAACAGCAAACATTGCATTTTACTTAGTTTTCTTATTCATTGTACCGGTTTTTTTTTTAATGATAGAAATGATTACAGGTTTACACCTATCACTGTCTTAGGCATATAATTTAAATTGAAAAATTAATGTTTGACAAAATAAGGCAAAGACATTAAAGACAGTCATTCATATTTTATGGAATTAGACATGTGAAATTCTGGATCATTCGATGTTTGAAAACTTTGTCTGGGCATAGTAATACACACCTGTCACCCACCTTTGGGGAGGCTGAAGCAGGAGGATCCTGAGTTCAAGGCCAACCTGGACAAGTAGTAAGACCCTGTCTCCAAAAACAAACCTGCCTTTGTCTTGTTTGGCAATCACTGTGCGCCTCAGTTTACTCTGTGTGTGGGGTGCTCCTCTTCCACCGCTCCCCAGTGCTCACTTCTCCCAAGCACATGCCATGCTCTGAGAACCGAGAATTACTGAGATCATCACAGACACTGCACATCCTCCGTTCTTGAATGTGCAGACTTTTATAATGACTTAAATCAGTTTTTTTAGTGCTGTTAGAATTTGTAGAATTATTTCAAATATGGCATCATGGCTTTCAAAAATATATTTTGCAGTTGCTTTTGTATTCGGAAGGCTAGTCTGAAGACCAGGAGGGTTTGGTGTAGAAAATGCACTCTACTAAAAGACCTGTTCTCCCAGTATCTTTTACAGATCTAAGTGTTTCGAGCCCCTTGGTGTTCCCCTCCAGAGTAAAGCAGCGTCAGGAACTGACTGCTCTCTCCCCTGTAGACTCCTTACTTGTGGTTTAGTGTGAAAATGAACTCTGATGGTGTGCAAGGCAGCTGCTTTAGACAGTGAGTGAGAAATGGTAAAAGAATGTTTGAAACTTCGAGTCCTTGGTTCTCTGATAATTTAGCAACTTTTGTTACTGATGCCCAACATTTTTTAAACTGTTAAGAGGAAAAATTATGAAGAATTGAGTTTACTTTTCTCAGCAACAGTTGAAAATAACTTTTATAATTAAAAGCTCCCTGAAGGGAATACATTACAGAGAAGATAAAACAGGAGGATACCTTGCAGAATGCTGGAAAGCTTACTTTGAAAATTTATCTAAAATTTAATTCATGCATGTCTTTACTTAATCCTGGTATTTCTGCTATTAGGAAATAGAGCTTAACAAATTGATATATGCATATATTTTTTTACATGTAGGATTCTAGTTTCTATCTTCTGAACTCAAGAAAACTAAACACAAAAAACAGGGTATAAATCTTCAACTCTTGCCTCAAACTCAATGTTCCTTTGTCCTGACAAAGGTTAGACTTGTCTAATAATCTGGTATCTTTTAGGGCATGATACACTCCCATTAACTAGTTGAAATACCATGGCAGAGATAGGAAACCCAAGCTTTGCCCCAGGGTAAAGTTAAAGAACAAAAGCCCCCTCATCTCAGAAAGTGCCCACTTTATCTAGCATGAATTGTAAAGACTTACTCAGCTCACATAGGAATTTGTCACTGGTCACCTTTTAAATGGTCAGTCCTGCACTGTCACATCTGCAGAGGCCAGGCGGCCCTGTAATCAGATAGATGCACAGTGCAGAGTCCTTCGGTAGGCAGTCCTAGCTCCTGTGGCTCCAGCAGTCACTTTACAGCTTTATGTGGAAAGTCAGGGAGCCGAAATGCCCATTACATCACAGACCACCGGCGACATCTGGACAGACATGCCCTATGAAGCAGCTCTAACCCACAAAATGAGTTTTAAGATAGAGACTGGTGTTTCATCTTTGAAAATGCTGTCTGGTTTGTGGGAATGTTTGTTGCTGTTCTTTCCCACCCATTATTTGTATGACATAACCACTGTGAAAGGATGTAGCGTCTCTTCACTTCCCAGTTTTGTTTTTAGGGAAGCTTTGCTCTAGTTAAGCTTTTGTTAAGACTTATTTTCCTCAATAAAATGACGACTACTATCACAGATCACATAGGACCAGATAATAGAAGCGTGATGTGTGACTGCTAAATGACAGAGGGCATAATTTCCCAGGAAAGTCATTTCCTAATGCCTGCACGTGACTCTTCCCTTGATATGGGCTGCAGAAGTAGGTTGAAACATGGAGCAACAATTCAATGGAATGCTGACTGAAACTGTCATTTTGAACAGTAGTAAGGAAAAGAAATAGGTTTTGTCCTCCACGTCAGTGAGGCTAATTTGCTGCTGACACATGGAGCTGAAACGGGCTATCAGAGCCGACTGTGAGGACTGGGTACCTCTGCTCACTTTTCCTGTCTGTCCCAGCATCTTTTCTCCTTCTAACAAGTCAGTCTTCTGCTGTAAATGCAAGTGCAGAATAACAACACAGAAGTACTGGGATATGTTCTTGAAAAAAGACACCTAAAATGCACCTACCCATCACACGGCTGAACTGATTTCTGTGAAATAGACTTATTGTTTTAAATGCTAATTATGTATGCTAAGAACACCTCTAAAAATTGTGTCTTAAATTTCTAGTTTCACTTTTGGAAACTACTCCTGAAAAGACATTGAATACAGGTGGGAAATATAAAATGTTCTGACACAATGATTCAGTATTATTCAGTGTTTAATATGAAATTCATTGTTGTATCACAAGTGTAGTGTCATTGGATTAAAATGTTGGATGTTTTTGTTAATATACTTAAAACTGTAACCAGTGAATAACATCGTAGTATTTTTTATTATAGATTATATTTTATTTCAATAAACTTTGATATTTAGACCGAACATTCTCTGTGTCAGCTCATCACACTAAGCTGCTATCTGTGTGGTTGGTCACATTTACCTGAGACTCACTTAGATCAGTGTTGGACACAAGAGACAGTAATCAACTCTAAACTGCAAAGTGGAAACCTTGATTCTGGTGAGGAAGGGTCACCATCTCACACAGCTCTCCTGTCGGAGAAATCAGTTCAGGAAAAGATGCAAAGGAACTGTTTCCTCCTTCCACAGTGGGTTGGGCTGCCAGGCTACCACCACAAGTACCTCTACCCACTGAGCCATCTCATTTTGATTTCTAAGTGATTCTGAGCTATTTGTGCTCCAGCTCAAAATCAGTATCAAATATGAATGGTCAACTATAATGTGGCTTTAAAAACTCTACTGTGGACACTCATGGTGGTTCACATTTGTCATCCCAGCACTCAGGTGGCTGAAGCAGGAGGATCACTGTGAGCTAAAGGCCAGCCTAGGCTATGATGAAGTGAGACATTGCTTCAAGTTTCAAACAAAATGCTCCAACCAAGGCCAGTTTCTCTTATTGAGCTGACCAGTTCAAACCTCAATCACGCCCCTCATTAGGGTCTTAAATGCCAGGCTACTGCTCCTATACTTAAAGACATCAGGGATAGAACAGAAGCCAGATGACTAGAGACAGTCATGCTCACAATGAAATTATTCAAATTGTCCAGAGGGGAGCCCTGAACAATGGCAAACCTCACCACACTTGCCATTAATTACTGCCCCCAGCTCTGTAGCTGGGTGCAGCGCCCTGGTGGATGCTGGCACAGACTTTCCCTCATCAGGACTGTAACCAAGAGGCCAACTTTCATATACTCAAGCATCATTCTCAATCTCACCATCACAAGCCATTTCTAACTTTGGAGGTGCAAGTGTGGGATTCCAACACTCTGGAGACTGAGACATGAGAAATCAGGAATTCTAGACCAGCATGGGCTACACAAGACCTTGTTTCATTTTGTTTTTTCTTTTCTTTTTTTGGTTTTTCTCTGTGTATTCCTGGCTATACTGGAACTCACAGAGATAAGACTTTGTTTCAAAACAAAGCAAAAATGAAGACAGTGAGCCAGGCATGGTGGTACATATCTGTAATCTCAGTACTCAGAGGTGGAGGGTGGTGAATTCAAGACCAGTCTGGGATACAAGACTCAAGGAAGGGAAAAAAAGGAAAGCAGGCCATCAGCTGAGACGCAATATCCCCAGCACATATCTGATAAATAATAGACGAAGAGGACTTAGAACTCAGAAAGGCAAAAACACTTAAAATGGAGTAAAGATGTAGCTACGCAGTGGTGGTGGTGTCGCACTGGTCTAGAACTGGGGCAGGCAGACCTCTATAAGTTTGAGGTCAGCCTGGTCTAGAGAGTCAGTTCCAGCACAGCCAGGGAGGGCTACAAAGAGAAAGCCTGTCTTGAAAAACAAACAAAAAGTGTAAACAAATAATTCAAAGCTCTACCAATTATCAAAACCATGTGAAAATAGGAAATTCAAGAGCCAATGAGATGGCTCAGTGGGTAGGAGAGCTTGCTACCAAGCATAAAAACCTGGATTCAACTTCCAGAACCTTCACAGTAGAACTGACTTTTCAAGTTGTCCATTGACCTTCAGATGTACACTATGACACATGTACACACAAGTTTATGTAATGAAAGTTTATAAGTTTATTAGGAATTAAATTAACACCATGGAACAGCCAACACCAGGAGTGCTGCCAATATCCAGGGTTAAGTCTGGGCAGTTCAGACCTTTCACACTGAGATGCAGGGATGGCACACACTTCAGAATTCTCCAGCCGTTTCCTGCAATGTTGAATACACACTGCTGTGTCCAACACCTGCCAATGCCAAGCCAGCTTACCCAAGAGAAGTTAAAACATGGCCACAGAGACTTATACACAAATATTCAAAACGTTTATTCATCACACCGCAAGCAAGCTAGATACCCATCAATTAGTGAAGGCACAGGAAAGTGTGGTGCATATGTACAATGGAAACCTACACAGTAGCAGAAAACTGCTGACACACGGCAACACGGCCCAAATGCAAACTCTATTGAATTCAACCATGTTTTTGTCTGATTCTAGGTATATGAAACCTAAAAGAAAAATAAAGGCACTAGTAGCTGTCTAGGCTGGAGAAGTGTTTGGGGATGATCAGGAAAGGACATGAGGGCTGGAGAGATAGATGACTCGGCAGTTAAGAGCATGTACTGCTCTTGCAGAGGACCAGAATCTGATACCCAGCAGCTGCGTCAGGTGGCTCACAACCACCTGTAACTCCAGCTCCAGGGGAACCTGCACTCACAAACACATAACTACACATAACTAAAATAAAATAAAACTTAAAAAAAAAAGGAAAACACGTGTTTCAGTGATAAAATAGCCACTTAAATTTGTTGATAGTTGTGTCTGGCCATCTGTAAATTCCACTTTAAAATAATTTCAAATGCTTTCATACATTAGCCACAAACAATTAAAACTGTGCTTTAAAAAATTCTAGTTGAGAGTTGGGAAGACAGCATTAGGACCTGAGCTCCCTCTCCGGAATCCGTTTTTAAAAAGTGGTGTGGTGGTTTGAATGAGAATGACCCCCAAAGTCACATGTGTTTCAACACTTGGTCCCCAGTTGGTGGAAGGGAAGGACATGGAGGTGTCCTTTTAGGAGAAGCTGTGTCGCTGGGGGCAGGCTTCAGAAGACTTGTACCATTCCCAGTGTGTCTCTCTGCCTCCTCCTTGCAAATTAATTGTGAGCTCTCTCCCTCCATGCCTTTACTTCACCATTATGGACTAACCCTGTGGAACCATAGTCCAATTACACACTTCTTTTATAGGTTGCCTTGGTCATGGTGTTTTATCACAGAAATAGAGAAGTCACTAAGATACAGGGCATGGAGGTGTGCGTGTAACACCAATGCTGGAGAAGAGAGCACACTCAAATCCCTGGGGCTCACTGGCCAGCCAGCCTAGTCTAATTAGTGAGCTGCAAGCCAACGACGAGACTCCATCTTGGAAAACACGGTGCATTGCTCCTGAGGAAGGACACCGGAGGCCGACTTCTGGCCTCTGTGCATATGCACACAATTGCATCTGACATAACATCAGAAAACAGACATTTTAGTGCAAGTCCCTGGACTTAAGTTACTTTTCCTTTGTCATTCCATGACCACTGGATTTGTGTGTGTTTATGTCTCATTCATATTTTGACCCAATGGAAACAGCGGGTCGGAGAGAAGGAAGTTTAAAAAATGCAGGCGCCCCCTAGATTTACATTTGAGAAAGGCTTACCATAGAATCAAGAAATCCTAGGTTTTTGCCTGTGAGTGAAACTTTCAGTTATGGGGAGGGTGTGGCGCTGGAGAGATAGCTTAGCAATGAAGGGCATGTACATGCCCTTACAGAGGACCTACATGTGGTGCCAGTACCCACCCACAGCAGGCAGTTCACTGCTACTTACAACTACAGTTCTTGTAGATCTGATGCCCTCTGACCTCACGTACCTACACACACACACACACACACACACACACAGAGAGAGAGAGAGGAGAGAGAGAGAGAGAGAGAGAGAGAGAGAGAGAGAGAGAGAGAGAGAGAGAGAGAGAGAGAGGAGAGATCCATATCTTTAATATTTTTTTAAATGTTTGCACTATTTTATGGGTATGAATATTTTGAATGAATGTATGTCTGTGCCTACCTAAGCCAGAAGAGGGCATCAGATCTCTAGAAACTGAACAGTTGTGAGCTGCCATGTGGGTGTTGGGGGAATTGAACCCCATCTTCTGAAGGAGTGTGAAGGCAATACAGACCCTATCTAAGGGGTGGGCCACCATCTTAGACCACCTGCTGTACTCAGTTCCAGGAAGGACCTCAGGAACGTGCCATGACAACTCGAACAGATACAGGGCATTATCCTCCTACAGACATTCTGTCTGCAGTTTATGGCCACTGAAGATATCTAGATAATCCTGCTGAGCAGTCCAGATAATGCTGCTCAGCGGGTTGTGGTTCTCCACCAAAAGTCTAACCCAATGGTTTCAAATGTGGTTTCCTGCCAAAAGTCTAGACCAGTAGTTTCAAAAAATCACCTTGCCCCATCCATATCCCTCTACCCAATCTCAAGCATGTAATTCCCGGCTTTCAGTTTTCCCTATAAAAACTCTCTACACCTGGGCTCATGGCCACAGCCGCATTTCCTTCCATCTGCTGTGCAATGGCCCAGGGTGAACCTGAATAAAAGGACCCTTGTGTGCTTGCATCAGAAACCGACTCCTTGGTGGTCTCTGGGGGTTTCAAGAAACGGGTACAAGAGCAGCCAGTGCTCTTAACCTCTGAGCCATCTCTCCGGCCCCCTCTTTAAATCTTTTAAATGTTCTAAAATAATGCATTATTTAGGCCAGCAGAGTGGTTCAGTGGATAAAGGTGCTTGCCACAGAAGCCTGAAGTCCTGAATTTAATCCTGATTCCATGTGGAGATGGACGAAGCGAATTCACTCCATGGAATTGAACACTCTGATCGCCGCACTCACTGTGGCTCCTGTCCACTCACACTCACCTCTCTGCCTCTTCTTTTCCCTCTCTGTCTCTGTCGTCTCCCCACCCTCCCTCCCTCTCTCTCTCTCTCTCTCTCTCTCTCTCTCTCTCTCTCTCTCTCACACACACACACACACACACACACACACACACACAAAGGCTTGGGTTGGAAAGACAGCTCAGCAGTCAAGAGCACTGGCTGCTCTTGCAAAGGACCTGGGCTCAGTTCCCAGCACCCACACGGTTGCTCACAACTGTCTGTAACTCCAGTCTCAGGAGATCTGACACCCTCTTCTGGCCTCTAAGGGCACTGTATGTGGTACACATCTATTCAGACAAAATATTTATTTGTACATATAAAAGATAAATAAAAATTTTGTTTTCAGTAAATTTTTTTTTAAATTACTGAATTTCAACAATAATCTTGAAAACAGAAACTTCTAAGTTATTTATTTTAAAAGCT